GACGGTATAAGAACGTCAGGCAACTCGGCCTTCCGCTCCAGAGGAAACACCGTGGTGTGGCGCGTGTAGTCGTCGACAAGCACTAGAAAGTAGCGCTCTCGACGCGGCCCATGGATGGGGGCGGGGCCCCAGACGTCCATGTGTAGGGTCTGCAGTGGTGCGGTAGTGGGGGGGAATGAGGAGGAGTGAGGGGCACGGCGGAGCCGGCCCTCAACGCAGGGCGTGCACGGCGGCGCTGGTGAGGAGGGTAGCATGGGGAATGACTCAGGGAGACCTAAGACAGCACCGTGCTGAGACATGTGACGAAGACGTGTGAGGGCAGGGTGACCTAGACGGTGGTGCCACAGAAGCGTGGGGTGAGAAAGCGACCGACACGAGCAAGCCGCAGCAACCTGGGTAGACGCAGACACCTGGGGAGACGTCCCAACCGGGGGGGATGCGGTGTCCAGTGTGAACAAGCCAGACACCGGATCCCAGGGGAACATGGTGAGGGGAGCATCAGTGGCAACCTTGGTACAGACAGCGTACCGCTCGTGACCAGGGAACGTAGTGGTGACGCCGAGATCTTGAAGGCAGCCGACACCAACTAGGTTCCTAGAGAATGAGGGCATGTGCAGGCCTGTAAGGGAGCCCAAAGGAACCGCTGGACAGGGAAGGGTGGTGGAGCTACGGGTGAGTACACGACCTGAGGAATGGTCTGCACGGGCAACTGCGGCGGTAGCGGAAAGCGGCGTAAGTGTAGCGGAGTTCCGAAAGAAACACCGGGAATTGCCGGAGTCCAGGGTGAAGGAGAGCACGGCAATGGCGGCAAGGATCGAAGGAGTGAGGGTGGAGCCAAGGCTAAACAAGGCAGGGGATCGTACGCCTGACGCAGCAGGGAAGTCTTAACTGGGCACACTAGGCACACCTACACTAGGCAACACGGGGTAATAGGAAAAAATCACACTAGAGTCATCAACATACAGACATATAAAGCAGATCTATTCTCATCCATGTCCATATCAAAGATCCTAATACCACGGCAGAGCAGACTGTGCCAATTGGGGAGGTCTGGCGCCAAGCGGAGACGAAACATGCCATCTAGGCGACTGAAACAATGAGTGGGGGTATGGCCGATCTTACCGCACACGAGGCTGCTGCGAGGACCGGTCTGGAGCTGGTACTGGCAGCGCCCGTCACTCGGACCACCACCCAACGTCACGCTGTGCGCACGACCACTTTGACCACCTCCACCACCGGCGCCAGGCCACCCGGGTGGAAGACGACCGACCCGTCGTGGCTGCTGCTGGTGCTGCTTCTGGTCCAGCTACGGCTCCTGCTGCTGCTGCTGCTGCTGCTGGGGCTGCTGCTCTAAGGCACCAGCCCCAACCCCCTCGTTAGTACTACCAGCGGGCGAACCACCTCCACCACCGCCTCCACCCCCTCCTCCGCTACCTCCGCCGTGCCCAGCCTTGGGGCGGCGACCCTTACCCGAACGAAACTACGCTGCGGCAGCCGCGGCGACTGTCTCCGCAGCAGGGGCTGTCTCAGCGACAACAGCAGAACCGTCAGAGTAAGTGCACTAAGCGGGGGCACAACCCTGAAAGATAGTAACCGGCACAGTAGCGCTAGACTGGACGATAGAGCGCTGAAGAATCTCTATGGCAGACAGGGTGTCGACAAAATCAGTGAGGGTGAGGTCACCAGGGTGGAGACTAAGAAAGTGATCGCAGACAGCAGCAAGGCAGTCAGGGAGGCGGGTGGCAAGCAGGTAGAGGGTAGAGCAGATGGGGGGCTGAAACACACGAAGCTGGGCCTCAGTACAACCAGCGCGCCAGGTCGCGTCTAGCGTGCGCAAGTTGGCGGCCAGGTCAGCGACAAGGGAGAAAGACGCAAGATCAGGAAAGAGCATGGGCAGGATCAGGCGACCGTTGGAGGCAGAGGACGAAGTGGAATAGCGCGCGATAACAGCCTCTAGGAACTCCTGCGCAATCCTGACCAACCTAAAGTGGGGGCGCTCAGACATGGGGAGGGCATGACTAATCGCAAGCTGTGCGACAGCGTCACGCGACAACCAGACAGCACGGGCAAGGGCAGCAGTGGCAGCGGACGCACAGTCAGCAGATGAGGGGTCAGCGGGTAGAGCGGCAGGGGGGTCAAGGCAGGGGAGCGTACCATCGATGTGGACGGCCAGGGAGTGGCTGTCTTGCCGCTGACCAGTAAGGTGACGGCGGAGGTCGACGAGCCACGTGTCGAACTCAACCAGCTAACCCTCCACGTCAAAGCGCAGCACCGAGTCCGCCATCATGGTCACTGCACCAGCAGAAAGGCGGTAGTGGGCTGTACTGAGCGACAGAGTGCGGCGGAAAGTAGTGGTGTGCTGTGCGGTGCAGTACGGTAGATTGCGGTAGAGTAAGGTGCACTACGGCAGGGTGCGGTGCAGTATGGTGCAGGGAAGTGCAGTGCGGTACAAGGTGGTGGAGTGCAGTGCAGTGCGGTGGAAAGGGTCGATGAAGCGAGGTGGGAGCTACAGGGGCAGCTAAGGGACGGGGCCGCGAGAAGGCTGGGCGGCGAGGCCGCGGGGCGGCTGGTCAACAGGGACCGTGTGGTGGGCAGGCAACCGGCCCGCGGGGCGGGCAGGCGACCGGGCCGCGTGGCCGGCAGGCGACCGGGCCACGGGGCGGTCAGGCGACGGGGCCGCCGGGCGGCTATGCAACAAGGCTGAGCGGCGGCTGGAAGACGGGGCCGCGTGGCGGCTAGGAGACGGGGCCGCGGATGGCGAGGCGACGGGGCCGGCTGGGGGGCTAGGCGACGGGGCTGGCTAGGCGACGAGGCCGGCTAGGCGACGGGGCCGGCTAGGCGACGAAAACGGCTAGGCGACGGGGCCGGCTGGGCGACGGGACTGGCTAGGCGACGGGGCCGGTTGGGCAACGGGGCCGATTAGGCGACGGGGCCGGCTAAGCGACGGGGCCGGCTAGACAACGGGGCCGGCTGGGCAACGGGGCTGGCTAGGCGACGGGACCGGCTGAGCAACGGGGCCGACTAGGCGACGGGGCCAGCTGGACGGCGAGGCGGGCTAGGCGACGGGGCCGACTGGGCGATGCGGCCGACTAGGCAATGGGGCCGGCTGGGCGACGGGGCCGGCTGGGCGACGGGGCCGGCTAGGCGACGGGGCCGGCTGGGCGACGGGGCGGGCTAGGCGACGGGGCCGGCCCGTCGACGGGGCCGACTAGGTGACGGGGCCGGCTAGGCGCTAGGTAACGGAGGCCACTAGGGGACGGGCCAGCACGGGCGGGAGGGCGACGGGGTGGCTAGGACCTATGGCGGAAGCACTGGTGGACGAGGGGGACCTAACCTACTCATGATACCATATCAAAGTTAATGAATGATTAGAACCATGGCAGACAAGGGAATACAACCTAATGGGTTGTACTCTCTAAGGCACAACCCTGTGTAGTCTATAACAACATTTAAGGATATGTTTGACACCGCTCCCCATGGTGGTGGGCCGATGGCTGGCGCCTTCAACACCGTCCTTTGCGCTTATAACATCCCAAACTCGCCGCACTGCTCCAAATTCATTGCCTATCAGACAGACAACTGCACTGGGAATGCATACGTGACTTCCTCCCTTTCTACTACAGCCTTCACTACACATGCTTATTTGTGAGTTCCTAAAGGGGTGTCTTGCTCCTTTCATATGGCTTGCACTCCTGCTTATCCCTGCATGCGTACTTATCCTTGCATGCTTGCCTATCCTTGCATGCATGCTTATCCTTGCATGCATGCTTATCATTGCATGCTTGTTTTTCCTTGCATGCATGCTTATCCTTGCATGCTTGCTTATCCTTGCATACATGCTTATCCTTGCATGCATGCTTATCATTGCATGCATGCTTATCCTTGCATGCTTGCTTATCCTTGCATGCTTACTTATCCTTGCATGCATGCTAATCCTTGCATGCTTGCTTAGCCTTGCATGCATGCTTATCCTTGCATGCAAGGACAACCTAACATGCTTGCGTTTAAGCGATCACAACATCCTTGCACCAGGTTCATAACCTGGTTCTCAACTCCTTCCATCACTCTGCTCTCATTCTCACCTTTCATCTCCCCCGCTCCCCATCTGCTCTCAACTCCAATGGGCCGACATCCCCTTCACCTGTCCGCTCCTATATGGCCGATGCTTGCTCCTAGTTGCTTCTACCTCTGTCGTTACCTGCTTCCGCTTCACTGCTGTTAGGTTTTTCTGCTTAGGCTGAGTTCTCTTCTCTTGCCATTTCGAAGGAGGTCATGCTTCTGGGTTTTGCTGTTGCTTTCGTCTTTCTTTCTTTCTTTCTTTCTTTCATTTTCTTTTTCTTTTCCCCGCTTTGTTAGTCGCTTTTTGCCAACGAAGGTATAAAATAGCAGGTGTCTTTGAAGGAATTTAAGCACGGTGGAAAGCGAGTGAACCTTGTCAAGAATGCCCAGTTCCACAAGCATCCTTGTGCAACTAGTGCATACTACTAAGAAGTGGTAGTGGACATCACATGGATAACTAACAATTCCGTATACAAACACAACGTGAGCGCCCCTTCGGTACACGCACTTATCTCGTTCTGACACACTGGCGAAATTGATCCGGGTGTTTTTTCTCGCCGAAAAGTGTTGCATTACTGTTCAAATGATCCTCCCCCTGCCCAACAACCTTCTTCCGATGGAGTAACCCACGGATGCCCGTCCGATCGAATTTATCGGACGGATATTATCTCCCCTAGTTGTCTTGGTTTTTGGGATGAGGAGTTCGTGTGTTGTCTGAAAGGTGGTCGATTGGAGGACGAGGGCAGGTTGGGGTTTGCTGAACCCTCAAGGGGCGTGGAAAAGCCATTGCATCTGACGGCGTAAAAGCTTGGTAATTGAATCGGACGGTAGAACAAGCCTTTGAGATTTCTTCCTTGCTGGCTCCTGAAACCCTAGCCTCTCACTCTCCTTCCTTCTTGCTCGCTCAAACTTTCTTCTCCGCTGCCACTTCTGTCCTGCATATTTTTTTCTCGGACCTCATCTTTCAGTTTCTTATTCTTCCGAGGTTTGTTTCTCTTGTCTTTTCAAGCTTTCAGAAAGTTTCAGCGTGCGCATTTCGAGCTAGGCGAAAAAAAAAAACCAGCCACCCTTTTCGCCACGTAGAAGGTAGGTACTGTATTCAAAATGCAAAACCAAAGTCGTGCCGCGCTTTCAGACGTCTCTCGTACCTTTTTAGAAGTCTATTCCACAGTTACCGTTTGACCACCATGGCTGCTTCTTGTACCCGTTTCTTCAGGTCTTCTTTTGACAACAAGCTATTCCAAGTTTTTATACGCGAAGCATTAACTCCACCACCGCCGTTAGATAGTACTGCGCCTTCGCCAGGATGATGCAGATGCCAGGAATGTCGTATGAGGACGAGCGGGCGAAGATGATGTCATTCCCCGCCATGCCGCCGCCTCACATGATAATGTCGGCAGGAAACCCAGTTTCCGTTAGAGCAGTCGACTTGATTCCTCGCGATGGCCTACCGCACGAAACTTATCGCATGGCCCTAGGCACCCTAATGAGCTCCCTAGCTCGCTTCAATTACGGTAAGTGCGTAGCGTTGTCGCCGCGTTTACGCCGTACGTTCTTACGGAGCGGTGCACTGACATAGAACATCACCTTTTCTCTCGCTGTCACAGCGATTATTCAGATGCCGCCCGGAGATGAAGCTCTAGTGCGATACACGCTAGACTCCTCGCGCGTGTATTTTCAGGTGAGGTTGCCTCCATAAGCTTTCCTTACGTCACGTTTAGGCTGCACGAGCATAGCTGACAATTAACTCGTCCGTGCAGTTCAAGAGGCGACCGTCGCCAGCAATGCAGTCCATTCCGAGCGCGGACGACCCGCAGGAGTGGAACCGAACCGCAGGCTACTACTGCGAACCGCATGTGGGGAAAGAAGTCTACGAGTTCCGTCCAGGCGCCACACCCATCAGCGCTGTTCCGGAGGATTCCATCCCTCCGTCGTGTCTTCCAGGTGCGTTCCCAACTTTTTTTCTTTTTTCTTTTTTCGTTTGTGAAAACATGTGCTCCAGCCCCCGTCTGGCATCTAATCGCAAGTTTCTCTTTTTCCGCAGATGCGTTTGGGAGCATGGGGAAAACGTCCAGAACTGTGCTGGAGGCGATAGGGCGGTCGCTGGACTTGCGGTCGTACACGTTCACGGACCTCCTGGACAACGTGCCTCTCAAGGCGAACGAGATCTCGTCCTCCGTGCTCTCCGTCACCTGCCACGGCCGCCGCTTTGCCAAGTAAATCTCCACTCCCATATCGGCCTGCTCCTTGTGTCTTGGGTTCCGCTCGTCCATGCCCATGCGTGCGCGCCCTCTTATTCCATTCTGACGCGGTGACCGTTGGGTGGGCAGTGAGAATATGCTGGACCCGGGCATGGAGGACAAGGACCCTCTGCTGATCCCGCCAGAGGACGCAGAGGCTCGAGCGGAGAAGGGGTTGGTGACGCTGATTAAGTCGGACCGTCCCGGTCTGTACATCCGCGACCCTCAGAACCAATGGCTACTAGCAGACGCCAACCTCGGCCCTAATGATCTTATATTAATCACGGGGTTGACTCTGTATCAGGTACCTTTTACCGCGTTTCCTTTCCTTTTTGCTGTATTCTGATTGTGCCGCATTGGTCTTACTTTACCGCCCCTGCTACCCGCTCCCCTTGCTGAGTCCAGGCAACAGGCGGCTACGTGAGCCCAGCGCTCTACAAGACGGACCTGGCGAGTGCGTCCGTGGGCATGCAGGTGCCGGAGGGCCGCGCGTCCGTGTTCTTCCGCCTGCTGCCGCGCGCGTCGTCCATCATCCACTGCTCCGCCATGGCAGCGTCGGGCCACGCCATAGCGGGCCCGTTCCAGCAGCCCGTGGCAGTGCAGGACTTCATGCTGCGCCAGCACCCTATCGACCAGATCGCCGCCGCCTCGTACAACGGGCTGCTCCGCCCCATGGGCATGGGCGCCGCCATGCCCATGGTCGAACCAGGTGGGCTGCACTCCTGCACTGTGTGCTTTTTCTTGTGTCTTATACCTGCTGCTTGTTGCCTGCCATCGGCCCGTTTCTCTAAGTCTGTGTTGGCTGACTGAAGCGTGCTGGAACTTTTGAGGCGCCTCAAAAGTAGTCGTTGGCTGACTGAAGCGTGGTGGAACCTCCAGGATCACCGAATGTGCGGCGGCGCAAGAAGCACCGCATCATGGGGACGGACGGGCGGTCGCTGGCGCCGTCGAAGCGGCTGCGCATGGAGGCGCAGCGCGTGCTCAAGGAGAAGGTGCAGGACCTGGCGGACGCTAAGGGCATCAAGATCCGCTTCTGCAACCTCAAGGTCAGAGAACACATTACGCTGCCCTGCTCACAGGGAGCTGAGAGTATATCACGTTGCCTTCTGCCTGGAACTAGCACATGGTTCACCTGTACAGCTGATATGCTGTGTGGTCATCATCTCCTCTTCCCCGTGCTGTGTGTGCCCGCCCTGGCAGGAGTGCGAGGAGCAGCACATGGTCATGGACGAGCCGCCCTGCTCGTACCTGCGAATGCAGCTGGGGTGGCCGGCCAACGTGCCCTTTGTGCACCCGCACGACCTCCCCAACCGCGCCAAGCAGGCTTTCCTCGAGGCCTACGAGCCCGGCTGGTCCGAGCGCCAGCTCTCAGAGCCCATGGGCATCGAGGTCGGCACCACGCCCAAACGCGTCCAGGGTGAGCCGCATGTCGCCTCTTCCTGCGTTGCTGCCTCTTCCCTGCACCCCTTGACTAGTAACTTCACGCCCCGCATTAGCCACTCATTTCGAGTCGAGTCAAAAGCCACTCCTATGCCCATGGTTCCATGTGCCCTTCTCCCCCCTGCATCTGCTCTGCAGCAGACGCGTTCATGGACCCCATAGGGCCGGACGCCAAGTTCTCAACGCGCGCGGTGTATGAGTACCTGCGCACCAACAACAAGCCCGTGCCCACCGGCAAGCCGCAGGTCGTGGGCCACAAGGTCGACATCCCGCTGCTCTGCCGCATCGCCTTTGAGGCGGGCGGCAAGGACCAGGTCAGTCACTGCGTGGCTGCTGGCACAGCATGGCATTCGAGGTACAGTAGCAATGCAGGTGAAAGCACAGCTGCCATGCTGTCAGGGTCCATTCTTTTGCCACCCCACCCGCTCCATTTCAACGGGCCTAACCTCTTCCCCTGCTCCAAACCACCATCCTGACCCCCACACTCCTATCCCCTACCTCCCCCATCCCCACCCCCCTGGCCCCTTACGGCAGTTTGAGCAGATAAACGGGTTCCAGCGCTTCATAGCAGAGACGTTCCACCTGGACGGCGCCACGGAGAAGGAGAAGGAGCGCGCCTTGGAGCGGCTGCGCAAGCTGTACGAGCAGGTGCTGGCGGATTATGTGGAGACGCTGGTTGCCAACCACGCCATGGGCATGGCGGCTGGGGGAGGGGGGCAGATGATGGGTGGGAGTGAGCAGCAGCAGCAACAGCAACAACAGCAACAACAGCAACAGCATCAGCAACAGCAACAGCAGCAAGTGATAGTGCCGCAAGAAGGGAACCTGCAGCAGCAAGAGCAGCAGCAGCAGCTGATGGCGATGTGATTGGCGTTGGCAGCTAGACTCATGGCGTGTGTAATGGTGATCAATGATCATCCCTGGGGCTTGTATTGTATGTACAGTGTGTGTGGGGATGGGCTGATTTCCAGGGCTGCTGTGAGGCGGGCTGTGGATGGAGGTAGTGCTCATTATAGCCACCAGTGGGCGTAACATGCCTCGCATGCGCTCCTAACTCTGGTTTGCAGCTTAGGATCTGTATGTTGCGCGTCGTTTGATCCAGTACCGGTATGCCTTGTATCTGTTGAGCTTGCCTCAACATGTGCCTTCAAGAGCTAGCCAGTGCAGTGTCTACAAGGCCACATGGGAGCTGCCAAATGTTTGTACCATACATGCTTCCATTCCATTCCTACTACCTCATCCTTTCACTACAGTGCAGAACCCCTATCAAGAACAGAACATGTGTAGTCTGTGTGGTATGCATCTGGGCTCACATCCAGTTCCATCCAGCCGCCTCCTGCCATGATCCTGCCAACCGTGCGTGCTTGGCATTGCCGGCACGTCCTCGGCCTCTCACGCTGCTCGCCAGCGAGCGATCACCCCCCTGTGTGCGAGATGGGGTTGGTGACAAACACCCCGTTCTTGAGCTCGCTTGAAAACTGCTCTGGCAGCGCGTGCTCCACCTGCCAAGGGAGGGAGTGATCGCGGGGCACAGGTGGGTTAGCCATGCGGCACCTTGCACATGCCGTGTGAGTGGATACCACCTGTTGAGCTCGCTCACACACTGCTCTGGCAGCACGTGCTCCACCTGCCAAGGAAGGGGGGGGTGACAGACGGACTAGGATGGTTAGCCAAGCGGCACTTGGCCCATGGTGTGTTGAGTGGAAAGACCTGTGCTGCACTCCAACGGCCCCAAATCGCCAACCGCCAATCTTGCACCCCAGCAGAGACTCCCTCAATCCCGCGTCCCTCTTTCTCATCCCCGTCCCTCCCTCCTCCCTGGTCGCCCCCACTCTCCCTCATCCCCATTTGCCCCCCTCTCTCTACTCCCTGAGGCACCCATCCCTACCCATGGCGTGTCGGCGTCGGGGCCCGGCACGAGCACGTTGATCTCCGATGACTTGGCGGTCGTGATGACGGCGCCCAGCGCTGATGCAGCGAGGTACAGCTGGCAGCCGCTGGTGTTGTCCACGATGAGCGTGGGGGCCGTGCCCTGGCACTGCACCTCCACGCCACTGCAGTTGACCATCTCACAAGCCGCTAGCACGTCCTGGCAGCGGAGAGTGGGGTAGGTAACAGGGATGTACGATATAGAGAAGGAAGGGAGGGGTTGGGGGCCATGCCCTGGCACTGCACCTCGACCCTGCTGCAGTTGACCATCTCACATGCCGCTAGCACGTCCTGGTAGAGGGTAGAGGTGGGGGAAATGAAGGGATGTATGGTATGGAGGGTGGGGGATGTGCCCTGCAGTTGACCATCTCACATGCCGCTAGCACGTCCTGGTACCGAGGAGAGAAGGGGGATCGGATATAGCAGCTATGGGGCAGCGGTGAGTGACCATGTCTGCAAAAATGACCTGGTATGCACCTCCAACTGCCTAATTACCGCACGAATATCACCTGCTGACCACCTGAGCCCCACCCGAGCCCCACCGGAGCCCCAACTGAGCCCCACCTGGAAGACGACAGCAGTCTTGGTGCACTTGTCGAGAGTGATGTTGTTCACCTTGCCTGGGGGCGGGAAGGGGAGACGGAGGGGGGTGCACGGGGCACCGGGCATGAACTCAGATCTGAGGCGCCATGAACCAATTGCCGGGCATATTGTTATATGGTGCACGGTGCACATGGTGTATGGTTGCATGTTGCATCGTGCGTACGGTGCATGGGTGCAAAAAATAGGACGACAGGACGAGTGCATGTGCACATGATAGAGGGGGTGGGGCAAGGAGGAGAGAAATGGGTGTACATCTTTGGGTTCCCTTGCACCCAAAACTCCACACTGTGTGCTCCGTGCTTTGAGGCGCCTCACGCCTTGGCTCAAGTCACCCTTGGCTCAGCTCACCCTTGACTTGCACGACGCTGCCCTTGCAGCCGTAGATGTACACGGTCTGCTTGGGCTCCGTGTCCGTGATCTCCATCCCCTTGTTGTCCACCTGGTTCTCCACCACCCACCTGCCCCCCCACGCCAACCACCACCCACACACGCACCACACATCACACGTGACACGCACACCCAGCAGCATGCATTGTTAAAGGGAGCAGGGGCGAGGGGGCTAGGATGCCGAGCACGCCCATCATGAGTGCCAGGCAGCATTGCTAACACCCCAGGCTACCCAGAAGCAGCCCTTACGAGTGCTAACTTGCGCCCTTGCATGCTCACTTGCGCCCTTGCTGCAGCTCGAACTTGGGTGGCTTCGTGGCAGCTGGCTTGGCAGCAGCCGAGGCAGCTGCTGACGTGGTCTTGCCCGCCCCTATGCTGGCGGGCACTGCCCCCGAGCGGTCAGCGCGGTTCTTGGTCTTCATGTCCGCCGTGACCTTGCGCAGCCCTGCATGGCGGGCAGGGGGGCGATTGAGGTTCAAGGGGAATGGAATAAAACCCAAGGGAATGAAACCCAAGGGAATGAAACCCAAGGGAATGAAACACAAGGGAATGAAACACAAGGAAATGAAACCCAAGGGAATGAAACCCAAGGGAATGAAACACAAGGGAATGAAACCCAAGGGAATGAAACCCAAGGGAATGAAACACAAGGGAATGAAACCCAAGGAAATGAAACCCAAGGGAATGAAACCCAAGGGAATGAAACACAAGGGAATGAAACCCAAGGGAATGAAACCCAAGGGAATGAAACCCAAGGGAATGAAACACAAGGGAATGAAACCCAAGGGAATGAAACCCAAGGGAATGAAACACAAGGGAATGAAACACAAGGAAATGAAACACAAGGGAATGAAACCCAAGGGAATGAAACCCAAGGGAATGAAACACAAGGGAATGAAACCCAAGGGAATAAAACCCAAGGGAATGAAACCCAAGGGAATGAAACCCAAGGGAATGAAACACAAGGGAATGAAACACAAGGGTAGGCATGGCTCCTATGCTTCTTGGTCTTCATGCCCGCTGTCATCGTGCACAGGCCTGCATGGGCATGGGTTGGAGCACAGGCATGGCCATGGATGTGGGCATGGCAGGTACAGGGGGGCGGGCGAGCAAAGAAAATGGAGGGCCAGGGAGGGCGGTACTTTGTCTTCCTGTCCGCATGGGGAGCGGGGGAGTGGAATGATGGGGAGTGGAATGGAGTATAAGGGCAGGCATGTGCCCCAAGCAGTTGGCTCCTATGGTGCGGTGACTACATGTGTGTGTGACCCTGTGTGTGCACGCATATACCTCCCTCCCCTGCTCTCAACCCCTCACCTGCTCTCAACCCCTCACCTGCTCTCAACCCCTCACCTGCTCTCAACCCCTCACCTGCTCTCAACCCCTCACCTGCTCTCAACCCCTCACCTGCTCTCAACCCCTCACCTGCCGTGACGGCTTCGCCCTTGTTGAGCTCTGAAAACACTTTCGACATGTCCGATCCCCCGCCCCCTCCCCCGCCTGATGCCGCCGCGGGGGGAGGTGGGGGAGGGGCCATGGGCGGAGGGGGAGGCGGAGGACCGCGGGGGGGAGCAGGAGCGGCGGAGGAGGAGGGGGCGGAGGATAGGTAAGAGGGGAGGTCGAGGCCGGAGGGGGACCAGGAGGGGCCGGTGAGGTGGAACTTCTTGACGTACTCCCGTAACGCCTGGGTGTACAGCTCCTTTAGCCCCTTCACCCACTCCACATGCGGTGCTCCCCCCTCCGTGTTGCGATTGGCCGTCAGGATCTGGGGGAAGGGGGGAGGGGGAGGGGGAAAAGTATGCGGGGGGAGGAGATGGAGGGGAATGAGAAAGACGGAAAACAGGAGCGAACGGGTGGGAGATGCGAGTGGGGAACGTGAGTAGGAAGATGAGGGGTAACACCGTAACACAAGAAGATGAGCATGAGAGGAACGAGCCTAGGGGGAGCCGGATAGGGAAGAACAGCTCGAAAAATGCGAGGGACGCAGGAAAAATCAGACGGCAAGGGGTGTTGGGTGGAAATGCAGTGGCATGGCACGTGAAGCGGAAAAGGAAGGGGAAAGAGTGAGGAGTCGAAGGGAGAACGGAAGGGTCTTCGTTGCAACATGACGTGGCAGCACCTTATTGGTGTAGAACTCGGCAGCTGGCCAGGTCTCATCAATGTGCGGGGCGGGGAGGCTCAGGCCTGGCGGATGGGGGAGGAGGAAGAGACTTGGGTTGCGCACCAAGGCTCAGGACAGAAAATTAACTCTATGAAGCAAGACGGTGGCTGTGGGCAATGGCGGGAGCGGCAGTCAAAACGCCACCCATGCCACAGACCTGGACACTATAACTCCTCCCACCCTACCGCAGTCTTTGCCGGAGTACGCCACCCATGACAGCGCGGCCACGCTCTCCGCCACGGCCTTGACGTGGTTGTACGCGTCCGTGCGCTTGCCCTCCGCCAGCTTGCCCGCCGCCGCCATCGCTGCCGCCAGCGGCTCCAGCAGCTTCGGCAGCGCTGACGCATCGGGTTTCTGGATGGCGGGGGCGGGAGAGATCGGGGGAAACGGGGAGTGGGGGAGGGAGAAGGAGGGGGATGTGCACTAACGTGCGGAACGGCATGCGGCGGGAATGCGGGAGAGGCGGAAGCTGGTGGACGGGCAGAGACGGGCGGGTGATGGGTGGGTGATGGCGCTGTGCGTAACGGCAGCGCGAATCAAGCGTTGAACGAAGAAACGGAGGGGGAGGAAGGAGGGGTGGAGGAGGGGTGGAGGAGATCCTCGGCTGCACCATTCTCGCCAGCTGCTTCCGCATGCAGATCACCCGAGTTCATCACGACATCTGCGAAGCGGAAGGTGAAATCGGTTGCTGGAGTAACAATGTTACATCCGGCTAGGCTCAACGCGTGGAATGGCGGGGAAGCGGACGCGCACCTTGCAGGTCGCAATGGCGGCGACGATCTTCTTCTCCGCCTCGAACGCCTCCGCCAGCGCCTTGGTCGCCGCCGTCACTTCCGCGCTGCCGATCTTCTCAGCGGCCGCCGTCACCTTCTGCAGATTCGCCGTCACGATCGCGTCAAACGCCTGCACCGACGGGTGGTCGGCGGCAGCCGACGCGGACGTGGCAGGAGCTGACGTGGCGGTGGAGGTTTGGGAGGGCAGCGACGCCTCGAGGCGGGCTACAGCCGCTTCGAGGCGCGCGACGAGGACGTCCATGGGCGCCGCCATACGCGTTATAAATGTAGGCGACACAGCGATGGAAGCACTAGAATAAGTTGAGATCCTTCAGGTGGGACTCTGGAGAAGTGGAATCTAGGGGCGGAAATCTACCACAAATGGATGCTGGAGAATGGAGGAGGAATGAGTGGGAATGAGAGAATGGAGTTCCCAAGATGGGAGAACGAATGCGGGTTCGGTCGGTCGGAATCCTCAATTGATGCGCGCAGAAATGCTGCGGGTGGAACGAGCGACTGCGCAGGAAGCAATGCGCCAGGGTCAGCCAGAGCGGCGGAAGCAGGTTTGGTTCGGAGCATGCGTAGGTTTGGCTAAAAACAGGGGAAACCCAGGGGGCAGGGAAAAATGTGGGTGGTTCGGAAGTTCTGGAGATGGGTGATGGGCGCCGAAATATGGCAGGCGGAATAAAAACGAGTGCGAGGGAGCAGCGGACCAGGGTCTACCATTGGCGGAAGCAGGTTCGCTTCGGAGAACAGCACCGCCCTGGCTCGTAGGTAGGCTGGTTGGTCTGGTTTTGGTTCGGGAGCTCAGCAGGGTGCAGAAAAATTTGCTCACATTCGCGAGACCATTCAGACTGGTAACCATTACGTTTCGCTGGAGTTCTGCATTACGCGAAAGAATCCTGCCTTGACCCATTCAGTCATACAGTATTTGAATTCAAGAGTTTTGCTTGAGACAGACACCTCCACTCGTCACATTGGTCTCGGGCTTCATTCTTTCACGTGCTTATTCAGAGACATTAATTCACCTGTCTTGTCCTTGCATCAATCTCGCTCAACCGCTTCCACTAATGGACGATCCCGAGGCGCTGCTGCCGGCGATCGGGCGGCGGACGAGGCAGCTGCGGCAGCAGGAGCAGATGCTGCGGGAAGCCGTCACGGGCGCGTCGCGGAGGAAGGAGACGAGCGCCGCGGCGCGGAGGGCAGCCAGAGAGGCGCACCAGCAGCTGCTGCGCGCTCGAATGCCGGCTCTTAACGCGCAGGTGCGGCTCTCGTGCCTCTCGAGGAGTAGACGCGTGTTGGATTTGCACGGCTGACAAATTGCGTCCCTCTGGTAGACTCGGCGCGCCGATGAGCCATGTACGGACTAGACGCGCGTGCGTGTGTGGCTCGTTGCTGCCGTCCTGCCTGATCTCCTCGTTTCCCCCGTGTCCAACGGTCTCCGCTTGCTCGCCCGGCGGCAGGCGAATGCGGAGTTGGGCGCCATGGAGGGCCACGCCGCTGCCATCGCCGCCTTCCTCTCCCACCCGCGTGAGTCACGTCTTCCGCTCGCACGCCCGTGCGTGAAAGGCAGCGAATCGTGCGACTGTAGAACGGGAGAGGATAACCGAGCTGGGTCCGCCCGCACGTAATTCATGTTTGATATCACCGCCTCACGACCTTTCTCCTATCACCGCCTTCTCTCTCTCGCTCCGTTTCCCTCTCCCACCCCTTGCCGTGCCATTCCCACGCGCACTGCCCTCTCTCTCCCTCTCTGCGTCGCTGTCCCTGCAGCCCCCGCGGCCCTGGCCATGTTCGCGGGGCTGGAGCCGCTGCTGGAGGCGCAGGAGGCGGCGGCGGTGCAGCATGAGGCGTGGAAGCGACGGCAGCTCGAGCAGGTGCGGGCTTGCAAGCAGGCGGGATTCGTATTGTGTGAAGAGGATTCGTCAGTACTCGAGGAACTGAGGTTTGAAGGAGGCATGGGTTGGAGTGGATCGGGAGGTGAGTAAACAGGTAGCGCTGCCCACATGACCTCACACTGCTTTCCACTGTTCACCGCCTTTCAGGCGACTCAAAAGGCATTTGCGCTCATGTTGCAACCGTCCTTCCTTCCTTCCTTGTGGGGCCTGTGCCGCGTGTGACTATACAGGGGCCGTCCAGGGCGGTGGCAGCAGAGGAACTCGAGCGGTACTCCCCGTGCGACCTCAACGACCTGGATGGCGACGCCATGGCGGGGGTTTACTGGAGCTCGCGAGGTGAACCGGTCCCCAGGTGTCCTCCAGCAAGCGTATGCTCAAACGCGTGCGCAGTGCATGGCCGCCTGCTGGATCTGCTGTCTCGGATTCTCGGCCCGCTTGTGTCGCTTCAACTTCTGCTCACAGTCGTGTGTCCTCACCCGCACTTGTTCTTGTTACCTCAACCCCCCACCTCCCCCCCCCCCCCGGTTTTCCACTAACAGGCGCCATCCACCGCCGCAACATCGAGGAGCTCAAGCACGTGCATGACCTGTGGGTGCTGTGGACGCGGTGTGATGTGGGTGCTGTGGACGCGGTGTGGTGTGGGTGCCGTGGACGCGGTGTGGTGTGGGTGCTGTGGACGCGGTGTGGTGTGGGTGCTGTGGACGCGGTGTGGTGTGGGTGCTGTGGACGCGGTGTGATGTGGGTGCTGTGGACGCGGTGTGGTGTGGGTGCTGTGGACGCGGTGTGGTGTGGGTGCTGTGGACGCGGTGTGGTGTGGGTGCTGTGGACGCGGTGTGGTGTGGGTGCTGTGGACGCGGTGTGGTGTGGGTGCTGTGGACGCGGTGTGATGTGGGTGCTGTGGACGCGGTGTGGTGTGGGTGCTGTGGACGCGGTGTGGTGTGGGTGCTGTGGACGCGGTGTGATGTGGGTGCTGTGGACGCGGTGTGGTGTGGGTGCTGTGGACGCGGTGTGGTGTGGGTGCTGTGGACGCGGTGTGGTGTGGGTGCTGTGGACGCGGTGTGGTGTGGGTGCTGTGGACGCGGTGTGGTGTGGGTGCTGTGGACGCGGTGTGGTGTGGGTGCTGTGGACGCGGTGTGGTGTGGGTGCTGTGGACGCGGTGTGGTGTGGGTGCTGTGGACGCGGTGTGATGCAGTGTGATGCGGTGTGATGTGGTATGATGTGGTGTGGTGTGGTGTGGTGTGCTGATGTGGTGCAATACAATGCCGCCCTTACGAATGCCTCTGTCACTCCCCCTCTGCTCAAGCGGTCCTTTGCTCTCATGGGAACGTGGGTACATGTGAAGGCGTACAAGGTGAGTAAGTGCGCACACACCATTCGCCACATCCCACTGCCACTCTCCCTCTGCTCTCTCCACCCCTCTCAACGCGCATGCGCCACCGCTGCGTCATCTCCCCTCCCCCCTCCCGCCCCGCCCCTTGCGCATGGGGCATGGCGCATGGCGGAGCAGCCATGGTGGCAGGCATGGTTTTTTTTTTTTTTTTTTTTTTTTTTGGGCTTTTAGTGATCCCAGGAGGAAATCCGGCCCCCTTTCCCACGCCGCTCAGCTGGTGGCAGGCATGGTGGCAGGCATGGTGGCAGGCATGGCGGCAGGCATGGTGGCAGGCATGGCGGACGCGGCAAGGTGGAGCTATGGACACCCCGGGTGCGCTGCACCTTCTCCCTCACCCCGGACCCCATTGCTCGTTCCACCCCCTCCTCCTTTCCCGCCCCGCAGAAGAGTCTATTTTTGAGGCGCCTCAAAACTTTTGCTCGTTCCACCCCCCCTTCTTTCCCGACCCGCAGCGCGGGGCTGGCGGAGCAGCGCCACATGGCGGCCATGGTGGACCAGGCCAGGTGGACGGCCCGGGGGAGAGCGCTGGGGCGAGCAGTGGGCAGGTGAGAGGGTGGGGGGCGCTGGAGGGGCGAGGGGGTGGAGAGGACGAGAGGGGAAGGGCGAGTTGGGAAGAGAGGGGAGGTTAGAGGGGGCGTAGGCGTGGTGTGAGAGTGCGTCTGCACGTGTGTGGGTGGATTGTGGGTGCATGTGCATGTGCATGGTGTATTCCTCTTACCTTGTTCTTCTGGTGCTTGCTCGTGCCTTCTTTCCCGTGCTTCCATCTCGTCTCATGCGCTTCTGCCAGCCCCTCATTTCCTTGGTCACTTGAGGACATGAGTCGTATGAAGACGGCGCTAGTCCCTTTTGAGTCGACTCAAAAGTCACTTGGGGAGATGAGTCGGAGAGAATGTATAAAGACGGCGCTAGTCCCTCCTCTCACCGCTGCCCTCCTTTCTGCCCCACTCTCCTCACCCACCCATGGCAGCAGCAGCAGCGGCGGCAGCACGCGTATGGGAGCGGGCATGGGGCGGGGAGGCGTGGGGGGATTGGAGGAGAGGATGAGGCGGCGGCAGTTGGACGACGTGCAGGCCGAGGTGGCGCGGGTTAGAGGCGTGGTGAGCCATGGGGGGGGGGAGGGGGGGAGGGGTGTATTATGGCCTCTTCGTTGGAGGCAGGGAGAGAGGGTGCGGGGGGACAGGGATGATTGCATGCATGGCCGAGACCCTCCTTGTAGTTCATGGGTCTCTTTACATGCATCCTCCTCTTGCATGGGCATGGCATGGCATGGCATGGCACGGCACGGTATGGCATGGCATGGGATGGCGTGGCGTGGCGTGCAGGTGAACAAGCTGTGTGTGGAGAAGGCACGGCTGCAGGACACCATGGTCACTGCCGGTAATGCCACCGCCCTGCCACCACCTTTCTTCCCCCTCACCCTGCTTCACACCCGGCCCTCTCTAGCCAGTCATCTCAGTCCTGCCGCTCATTCTATGCAGCTCACAGTATGATCCCTAGGCGCATCGAAGCTCGTTTCGTCAAGGTTGTTCCTTCGTATACATGCGTCCTATCTGCGGCGGCCTCCTTGCGTCCATGCCGTGCCCCCCCCCCCCTCCCCCTCTGCATTCCCCAGGCGACTACGGGCTCAAGATTCAGCGGCAGCGCTTCTACATGGACAAGATGCAGCAGGTGCGGTGGGAGGGGTGCGAGGGGTGGGAGGGGTGCGATAGGGAGAGAGGTGGGCGAGAGAGGTGCGTGACCCCACCTCTTACCAGGTGCCAAAAGTGCTCCAGCAGTGTCGCCAGCGCTGGTGGGTTACTCTACAGCGCGCCCAGGCGATTGCCTGCCTGGAGAAGGTGCACGAGGCGGCGCAGGCGGACAACCCCCCTGTCGCCTGCCCTGAGGCTGACCTTTTTATGGGGGACCATTTCGCCATTCTCGAGCCGGGGGCCGAGATGCCATAGAGGGCACCAGTAGGGGGGGTTTTGGTGGTATGGGTTGGACTTGCATGTACCCCTGTCTCTTGCATGGGCTCCAATAAATATATGGACCGCTTGTGTGTGAGCGAGGGGTTACAGCATGTGCGAGGCAGCAGGTGACGCATGGAGTGGGTTTGAGTGGGCATTGGGAGAGGGGAGGCTGGACGCATCTTCTCCTCACCCTCACATTCGCCTCCCTTTCTCATGCACTCTCGTCCCGCCCGCTCATTATTCACTCATCCCCCCTGCTCATTGCCCACCCAAACCCCCCTGCTCATTGCCCACTCAAACCCCCCTGCTCATTGCCCACTCAAACCCCCCTGCTCATTGCCCACTCAAACCCCCCTGCTCATTGCCCACTCAAACCCCCCTGCTCATTGCCCACTCAAACCCCCCTGCTCATTGCCCACTCAAACCCCCCTGCTCATTGCCCACTCAAACCCCCCTGCTCATTGCCCACTCAAACCCCCCTGCTCATTGCCCACTCAAACCCCCCTGCTCATTGCCCACTCAAACCCCCCTGCTCATTGCCCACTCAAACCCCCCTGCTCATTGCCCACTCAAACCCCCCTGCTCATTGCCCACTCAAACCCCCCTGCTCATTGCCCACTCAAACCCCCCTGCTCATTGCCCACTCAAACCCCCCTGCTCATTGCCCACTCAAACCCCCCTGCTCATTGCCCACTCAAACCCCCCTGCTCATTGCCCACTCAAACCCCCCTGCTCATTGCCCACTCAAACCCCCCTGCTCATTGCCCACTCAAACCCCCCTGCTCATTGCCCACTCAAACCCCCCTGCTCATTGCCCACTCAAACCCCCCTGCTCATTGCCCACTCAAACCCCCCTGCTCATTGCCCACTCAAACCCCCCTGCTCATTGCCCACTCAAACCCCCCTGCTCATTGCCCACTCAAACCCCCCTGCTCATTGCCCACTCAAACCCCCCTGCTCATTGCCCACTCAAACCCCCCTGCTCATTGCCCACTCAAACCCCCCTGCTCATTGCCCACTCAAACCCCCTGCTCATTGCCCACTCAAACCCCCCTGCTCATTGCCCACTCAAACCCCCCTGCTCATTGCCCACTCAACCCCCCTGCTCATTGCCCACTCAAACCCCCCTGCTCATTGCCCACTCAAACCCCCCTGCTCATTGCCCACTCAAACCCCCCTGCTCATTGCCCACTCAAACCCCCTGCTCATTGCCCACTCAAACCCCCCTGCTCATTGCCCACTCAAACCCCCCTGCTCATTGCCCACTCAAACCCCCCTGCTCATTGCCCACTCAAACCCCCCTGCTCATTGCCCACTCAAACCCCCCTGCTCATTGCCCACTCAAACCCCCCTGCTCATTGCCCACTCAAACCCCCCTGCTCATTGCCCACTCAAACCCCCCTGCTCATTGCCCACTCAAACCCCCCTGCTCATTGCCCACTCAAACCCCCCTGCTCATTGCCCACTCAAACCCCCCTGCTCATTGCCCACTCAACCCCCCTGCTCATTGCCCACTCAAACCCCCCTGCTCTGGCCCTCCATTCCCTCTGGCTTGCAGCTGCTGACTCAGCAGTACTGGCAGCTGGCTGCCAACGTGGCGCTGCATGGAGCCTTCCTATTGGACATGAGCCACCTGGAGCGAACGATGCAGCTGATGCTCCAGTTGCATTGTGACACGTCAGCCGCCTTGCGGGACTCTGAGACTCGCAAGGTGTGTGGGGGGCAGGGGAGGCGGGTGGTGCGAGTCGTCAGAATTTGATAATTTTTTAGGCGCCTCAAAAATAGTAGTCTGAAGCCTCTTTTGTCATCCATACGCCCATGCTTTGTCACATGCCCCTCCATGCCCCTCCATGCCCCTCCATGCCCCTCCATGCTATCTTCCCTCTCCACTCCCATGTCATCTCCTTTCTCCCGCCACCATCTATCCCGTCACTCACTCCCTTCCCCCCCTGCAGGCAGCCTACAGGTCGCTGGCAGCACAAGCAACTGCGCCCATCGCCCACACCATACCGCCACCACTCTGCTCCTCCCACCGCCCTTTCCCCCCCACCTCTCCCCACCTCCCTGCCCCTCTCCCCCTCTGGCCTGCGCTGCTCTCCGCCCTCTCTTCCCCCACTGCTCAAGGAGCGGCACAAGGGGCAGCAGGGGGGGGTGAGGGGGAGAGCGCAGCAGTGGAGGCGGGGCGGCGAGTGGAGGAGTTGAAAGGGCGGGCGGAGGAGGAGGGGGAGCGGGTGCAGCAGGGCATGGAGCGCACGGAGCGGCTGCTGGGGCGTATGTGAGTGGCAGCTGTGGTGCGAGTGGCAGCAGTGTCAGGAGAGGGGACTCAGTTGATCTCGCTTGCACTCAACCCATCAGGCTCTTCTTTCCTCAAACTCCGTTTCTCCTTCTTTCCATCGCTGCATGCTATCATCTCATCCTCTTTCCATCGCTGCATGCTATCATCTCATCCTCTTTCCATCACTGCATGCTATCATCTCATCCTCTTTCTATCGCTGCATGCTATCATCTCATCCTCTTTCCCGCGGTGCTGCTTCTCCCCGCCCTGCAGGGCGCACATGCAGGCGGCCCTGTTGTCGCTGCTCTCCTCTGCCCGTGCCACCCCTTCCTCCACTGCCGCACATGCCATGCCGCTGCACCTCTCGCCCCCTGTAAGCCCCCCCCCCTCCCTCCCTCTCCGCTGATGTCGATTTTCCCCATGTGCGCTCCTCTCTCTCCCTGGCAGTGCGTGGCTTCCCACCCTGCACCCTAGATTTGCCATCTGTGCTGCGCTGCTCCCTACTTTTACCATCTCCCCACTCTCGCTCCTTGCGTCTCGTCTCTCCCGTCTCACCCCCTGCAATCTTCGCCTCCCTCTCATCCCCCTTCCTTGTCTGCACCAAGGCTCTGGTGGATGAGCGCCTGCGAGTGGAGCGCCAGCTCAGTGATGAGGTGGCACCAGCAGTTGACAGGCTGGCAGACGAGTGGCAGACAGCTCAAAGGGTGGGCCGAGCTATCCAGTGCTGTGCTGTGGCATGGCATGCACATAGCGTGGTGGAGCATGCACATAGCGTGGTGGAGCATGCACACAGCGTGATGGAGCATGGTGAAGGCTTGTTGCTTGTTCTCCCCATCTATCTCCTGCCCTTCTCTCCCTGCCCCATCACTGTCCTTCCCATGCCGATGGCACCACTCCTCTTATCTTTTCACCTTCTCCTCCCCACTCTCTCTTCTCCCCTCCCCCTTCCTCTCCCCCATCTCACCTCCCCAGAGCGCGGCCCATGCAGCGAGCCACGGCATCCGGCAGCGGGTGCTACGGGGCTTCTTCACGCCCGGGGCGCTGCCACAGGCGCTGCTGCTGGCGCAGGGAGCGCAGGGGGGCGAGCAGCAGGCGCAGGGCCAGGTGCATGGGCAGAGGGGGGAGCCACGGGAGGCACAGGAAGAGGATGCTGGCAGGGGCCGTGGCGTGGGCACTACTGGGGGCAGTAGCATGGGCGCCAGCGAGGGCATGGGCATGGAGGGGGGCATGGATGTGGGGATGGGCATGGGCATGGAGGATGACGATGAGACCATCATATTCTGAGTGCCATGCAGCAGGCACAGCATGGACACATGTGGGTGTCTCGTTTGTAATTTGTAACCCTCAAGCCTCGTGTGCTGAGATTGCCTCCCTACAGTCCAGTGCTTCGACGCTTGCAGTCAAGCCTTCTCAACGAGGCCCAATCCATGGGTAGCAAGCCAGCGCCAAGGCAGCGGATAATTTAGAATCCAAACCAAAACAAACGAGCACTGCACTAGTATGACAAATCACGTGTCGTGTCGTGTCGTGTACCCTAAACCATGGGACAGGTGAGCCCTCCCCAAACACGACCTTCATTTCAACAAGACCCAGCCAAGGCGTCCAAGCGGCGAGCTTCAGAAGCGCCTCTTCCACTCAGGCGTGAGTGGAGGGCTTTAATTTACATGAGCAGCGGGCCCAAGTTGCAGGTCAACCCATGGTGCATGCCACGGCTGCATGCACCTGCTGCTGCGGCTGTCGTTGCTGCCAGTGGTGCTGCCAGTGGTGCTGCCAGTGGTGCTGCTGGTGCTGCTGGTGCATCTCCTGCCATCCCTCCTCCCTGCTGCTGCTGCTGCTGCTGGCGTCTGCAGCTGCAGAGTTCGATGGGCCTCTGCAAGGTGGCGCACATGGATGGGCCACTGCCAGGTGGCGCACATGGATGGGCCTCTGCCAGGTGGCGCACATGGATGGGCCTCTGCCAGGTGGCGCACATGGATGGGCGCGCCCTTGAAGCCGCCCTGCCCGTCTCCATTCCCGGGACGGCCAGCATGCATTGCTGACCACGGGATCTGGCCGGCGCTGCTCCGTTCAGGCGTGAGTGGAAGGCGGGGTTAGGGGGGCCAACCCATGCTCACCACTGCCCATGGCTGCTGCTGCTTCTGCTGCTGCTGCTGACACTGATGCTGGCGCTGCCCCCACTCCCCACTGCTGCTGCAGCTGCTGGCGTCTGTGGCTGCAGAGCTCAACGGCGGAGACGAGGTCGAGCACATGGAAGGGCTTGGCGATGAACCCGTCCATCCCCGCCTCCACGCACCGCACACGGTCCGTCTCCAGCACGTTCGCCGTCAGCGCGAAGATGGCCGGGCGGGGGGATGCGTGCTGCCAGCGCGGCCACAGGGACGCGATGCGGCGCGTGGCCTCGATGCCGTCCAGCACTGGCATCTGGAGGGGGGGGCCGACAGGTGGGCATGGGACAAGCGTGGGACAGGTGGGCATGGGACAGGTGGGCATGGGACAGGTGGGTCGGGATTCAAGGGGCGTGTGAGGGGTGTGCATGGGTTGCACGCAGTCAGTTTTGATCAGTCAATGATGCTCCCCACCCTTCTTCAATGCATGTGTTGCCACACATGCACGTCCATGCGCACGACCATACCTCACCACTACATCCCATGCCTCACTGCTACATTCCATGCCTCACCGCTACATCCCATGTCTCACCGCTACATCCCATGTCTCACCCACCTGCACGTCCATGAGCACGAGGTCGAAGGCATCAGCCTGCAGGCGGTCGATGGCCTCCTGCCCGTTTCTGGCCACGGCACACTCATACCCCATGCGCGCCAGCATCTTCGTCGCCACCTTCTGATTCACCGTGTTGTCCTCCCTGTGACCATGCAAGCACACACATGCATGGCAGGGGTAGGCGGCAGGAAATGGCCAGAGAGTTAGGCAAGAATGACGTGGTATTTCCTGACTCACTGCTCAACGCTGTCAGCTAGTGGCATCAACCTTGAGGTACGATGCCGTTGCGTCACATCCTTCCGTCATGGCCCACATGCCGTGTCATGGCTCCCCGTGCCCCAATGAGCCCCCCGTGCTTCAATGAGCCCCCCCCCCCACCCCCCCCGCCCCCCCCCCGGCATGTGGTCGTACGCAAGAAGTATTCTGAGGGGGTGCGCCTCCGCCAGCCCCACTCTGAACCCCGCTCGCTCCGCCCTCCCCCTCGCTGCTCCGTGCGCCCCTCCTCTCACTGCGCCACTCGCCCCTCCTCCCACTGCGCCACTCGCCCCTCCCTGCGCTGCAGGTGCCTGCTCTCCTCCCCTCCCCGCCCACGCCTCTCTCCCATCCCCACGCCTGCCCGCACCGCCATCCCCACAGCACCGCCCACCCCCCTCTCCCTCCTCTTCCCCCTCCCCCTCCCCACCTCCGCCACCTCCCACACTCTCTTGTTCTTCCTCGCCCCCCTCCTCTCCCTCCCCCCCTCCCCCACTGCTCCCACTGCACTGCTCCCCTTGCCGTACTCTCTCAACCACCGGGGTAAGCTCAGCAGCAGGCTTGGCAGCAGGCTCGGAGGCAGGGTTGGCAGGAGGATCCGGGTGGATGGGAGCGGCGGGGTTGTGGGGGTGGAAGAGCGAGGCGAGGAGGCGGTTGAGCGCGATTTGGCGCACGGGGCGGGGGAGAGCCGCCACGCACATGCCTGGCAGCTGGGGGGGCTGGTGGGGAGCAGGGTGGTGGGGGGAGAGGAGAGGAGGGGGGAGAGAACAAAGGGGAGAGGGATTACGAGATGGGAGGGTGACAGACGGGATGACAAGGGATGAGGCCGTAGAGGGGAGCGAGGATAGAGAGGCGCACAGTGGTGAAGGAGAAAAGGGTTGAGTACGTGCAGGGTTGGGCAATGGCAGCAGCCAGCAAGGACACGTGGGGAGAAGGAGCAGGCAGGCAAGGGGAGGCGAGTGTGAGTGAGTGCGCACATGCACGTTGCCGCAGTACGGCGTGAGCAGAATGAGCTTGGTGCCCCGCCCGCTGCTGCCGTGCTTCAGTGCCATGGAGGCCGGCGGTAGCCATTGGAGCCGGGAGTCCACCACAATCAAATCGAATCCGCCACACGGCCCCTCACATCCGCACCCCTGCTGCTCCCCCTCCCCCTCGCTCTCCCTCTCATCCTCTTCTTCCCCCTTCATCTCCCCCACTCCGCCCCTGCAGCCACCTATCCTCTCCCTCCCCCCCATCCCGTCCCCCCCCTGGCCATCCCAGCTGTGCTGGCGCTGCCCTGCCCCCGCCATCCTCGCTGCCACTGCCTCCAACCCCCCTTCTGTGCGAGCGCCAGGCAAACCCAACTCGTTCATCCGCCCATCCGCCTCTACCCCGCACGCCTGGCTGCCCCACATGCCTCTCCCCACCTCCCCTGCTCCCCGCTCCCCACTCCCCACACGCCCCTTCACGCTGCCCCCCTGATCTCCCCCCCCTCTCCCAACGCCCCCCAGCAGCAGCGCATCAGCCGCATCCCCCCCTGCAGCCGCGCTCACCCGCATCCCCAGCCCCACCAGGTGCCTCGTCAGCATGCCACGTGTCACTGCATGCGCCACCACCACCAGCGCCTGCAACCCGCAGCACCGGGTGGCGGTCTTGTGCCATGCTGCCACCCATGCCGGCTGCGATGCCAGCTGTCTGCCGTCCGCTGGCCAGCCTGCCACGCACCAATCGTTGTGTGGAAGCAGAGAAGGCGGCAGGGCCGCTGCTGTGTGTGGCTGTTGCGAGGGGCTCTCTGTGGCGGGGCCATCAGCATCGCCATGGGCATTGAAGTGGGCATGGGCATTGGGGTTGTGTGCAGCAGTGGTGCTGCGCCTTGGAGCTGAGGAGGGGTCCAAGGACAGGCGGGGTGGCAGGGACTCACATGCCATTCCCTGCTCCTGCTCCTGCTCCTGCTCCTGCTGCTCGCTCTGATCTGGTACCAAGGCTGCGGCATCTGCGGGTGATGGCATGTGCGCGCGTGAGTTGCCTCCATGCCCCTGTGCATGTGTCACAGCGCAGCCCTGTGCATGTGTCGCTGCACGCCCGTCCTGCTGCAGCGTCCTCGAGACATCGTGCCCGGCCAGGGCGACCCGCCTCAGATTCATCGCCAGCTCGCCCACGCACCCATCGCCCCGTGCCCGCTCTCTCCCGCCAACCAGCCCCCAACACCCTCGCCTCTCTCCTTCCTCCCCCCTGCCCTCCGCCCCTGCGGCCGCCACGCGGCGCCGCTTGCCCGAGTCCAGCGGGCGGGTCGGCAGCGATGCACTGCGGAAGAAGCGCCGCGCGGGGAGGGCGCTGCTGGAGCCACTCCCGCGCTGCTCCCCGCCCGTGCTGCCGCTGCTGGCAGCATTGGTGGCAGTGTCGGTGGTGGTGGGGGTGGTGGTGGTAATGATGGTGGAGGTGGTGGCAGCGCGGCCGAACAGCAGCCTGAAGGCCGTGGCCGCCACTTCATCCGCGTCCTCTCCGACTCCAAGAGCTTCCTCTTCCTCACTGTCTCTGTGTCCTGCATCCCCGCCCTCCCTCACCCCGCTTGCCTCAACCTCCTGTCCTTCACAACAGCCCCGCGTCTCCCGCTCTCCCTCCTCCCTCACCACCTGTACCTGCACCCCCCTCCCTGCCACCCCCCCACTCCCTTCCCCCACTGCCCCTGCCACCCCCCCTGCAGCAGGCAGGGCCAAGCCGCACCCATCCAGGGGCATGGCACAGGGGGAGGCGACATCCAGCACGCGCTCCACATACCCACTGCAGGGCGGGCAGTAGGGCAGTGCGAGCGCAGTGATGTAGAAGGAGAAGGTGGACCCGAGGCCCAGCCCCAAGCTGTCGGCCCAGATGCGCCCGCCCATGAGCTCCACCAGCTGCTGCGAGATAGCCAGCCCCAGCCCCGTGCCGCCGTACTGCCGCGTTGTGGACGCGTCCACCTGCGAGAACGGCTTGAACAGCCGGTCGCGCCGCCCCGTGCAGATGCCGATGCCCGTGTCGCGCACGCGCACGTGGATGCGGTGCCACTGGTACCCGGCAGATAGCGCCTGCTCCAGCTCGCCCTCCCCCCCCAGGCTGCGCCCCGTCTGCCTCAGGCGCCTGCCGCCCCACCCGCCGCTGCTGCCGCTCGCCTCCTTGGGCGCCTGCCTGCCGCTGCTGCCGCTGCTGTGGCTGGCACTGCCCCTGCTGCCATTGATGCGGCTGTCTGAGCGCTGGCTCGAGTGCAGCGCAGCAGCGCTTCCTTGCTTGGGCTCGGGGTTTGATGAATCGAGTGGCCCCTCCACTTGTGGTGTGACTGTATCAAAAGTGCCTGCATCCATGGCACTCGCCTTCAGATCGGAAAGCATCGTCTCCGCACAAGCACCTCCAGCATCTGCTGCATGTGCCGCCGGGGCCCCTCGCCCAAGCACCTCCCCCTCGCCGCCTCTGCAGGCAGCAGCCCCCTCGTGGCCGCGTGTGCAGGCGCCCAGGCACTCGGCTGTGACCGTCACCTCCACCTCGCCGCGCTTTGTGAACTTGGTGGCGTTGGAAAGTATGTTCACCAGCACCTGGTGAGGCAAGGGGGGGGAGAAGGTGGGGGGGGGAGGGAGGAGGAAGGAGTGAGTGAGAGGGGATGAGCAGCCATGCGCTCTGCTGTGTTGTGTGCACTTGGTGGCGTTGGGAATGATGTTCACTAGGACGTGGAGGGACAGGGCGGGCGGGTGGGGAGAGGGGAAATGAAGGAGTGAGTGAGTGGGAGGATGTTCGCTAGGACCTGGCAGGCAGGACAGGGGGGAAGAGGGGGAGATGTGGAGAGGGGGAGAGGTGGAGAGGGGGATAGGGGGGAGGGGAGGTGGGTGTTACTGGAGGTGCAGAGCAGAAACACCAAGCATGGCCCCTGGCAGTGCCACACACACCACAACACAACGCAGCAGTGGACCCATCACACCCCACTCGCCCAACTTGCAATGCTGCAGGCCCCTCCCTTCCCCCCGCAACCTGTCTGAGGCGCGTGGCGTCACTCTTCACCACGCGCGGCACGCTGTCGTCCACGTAGCTCACCAGCTCAATGCCCTTCTCCATGGCGCGCACCTGGTGGGGGTGAACAAGTGGTGAGGGGGGATGCATGCTTAGACGTTTTGGTAATGCGTAGAAATTGGGTTTGGAATGATTCAGGCGCGAACATTACGAGAGACTTATCGAGCTTGTAATCTGAAAGATTGGCCAAGAATAACCTGCAGACTCGGAAAGGGTGTACAACAGCGGACAGACTGTGTCGAAATTGTGCCGGAGGCCCTATGAAGGGCGTACGGCAGTCCCTAGGCTTCGCGCTCGCGTCCCTGAATTCGAGGTTGGCATCTGGGGCCAAGGAGTCGGATGCGGGCAGAAAACAAAACCTTCAGCCACCTTCTTGCGGAAGGTGCTGAACACATTCGCCCGTTCCTCATCTGCCCGTGCGCATCTGGCTGCGGTTGTCTGGCTGCCATTGGATGTTGAAAATCTCCGAGAGCCGGGCAACCTCATCCACAACCTCGGAAATGCCCGGCCCGCACAAGAAGGCTGTCCCCTCCCGAAGGAAACCCCCCAGGAGCTGAGGCTGGCTGACGCGGGGAGTTGGGTCTGCTGTCACACTTCGAATTTGCTAGCGTGCCGGTTTCTCCACTCGCCGTGTAAGTACGTCACGCGAGTTTCGCCTGTCGCGCTTGGAACATAATGTAACGTCGTGAGGTTATGGCTCAATGTCGTGCGTGAAGTTCGCGGTATATGGTAAAACGCACCGTGCGCTAACTGTTCGTGACACGATCTATAGAGCGGGAGCGGACGATAAGACAATAGAATCAAACGCAGTCAAGAGTCGCGACTTGATGAGGTCAGCATGATAGGTGCGGAAACGCTTATGAACGAGCATAGGCGAGCGAGTAGTACTGACCGCGAGCAGGTTGACGCTGTCCTCGACGCACGCGGTGACGTCGAAGTCGCGGTGCTCCATCTCGAGCTCGCCCGCCTCGATCTTGCTGAGGTCCAGGATGTCGTTGATGATGGCCAGCAGCGCGTCGCCGCTGCTGCGAATCGTCTCCACGAACCCCTGCTGCTCCTCCGACAGCGCCGTCGACAGCAGCAGCCGCGTCATGCCTGGGAACAACGGGAGGGCGTGTATGGCGAAACGGGGGTCAAGGATGAGTCGGCAAGGCGGGAGTCCATCAGGAGAATGCGAGCGGAGGGCTTTGAACGTGCGTGCAGCAGGCCGTGCTTGGGCGTACCCATCATTCACGCATGACCCACCCAGCACGCCGTTCATGGGGGTGCGGATCTCGTGACTCATGGACGCCAGAAACTGCGACTTGAGGCGGTTGGCGGACTCCGCCTCTGTCCGCGCGTCGCGCAGCTCCGCCACCATGCGCTCCAGCACCGCCGACTGCTGCGAGATGCGGCTGCGCGATTGCTCCAAGTCCTGCCGCCGAAAATGCACATGTGGAAGCACAGGTGAGAGGCAGTGGATGAGTCGCAGAAGTGGTATCCGCAGCTGCTCCTAACTCGCGTTCTTGCATTTTTCCACTAGATACAGCCCCCCTTATCACGCCCCCCCCGTTCTCTCACCTCGATGCACCGCTGCAGGTGCTCCCTGGCGCGCAGGTGCTCCTCGATCTCGCGCCTCAGCGCCTCGTTGCTGCGCTGCAGCTGCTCCGTGCGCTCCACCACGCGCTCCTCCAGCGCCGCGTTGAGCGCGCGGATCTCGCCCTCCTTGCGCTTGAGGTCGCTAATGTCCGCCGACACGCCGATCACCCCCACCAGCTGCCCCGCCGGGTCCAGGATCGGCGTGTCCGTTACCTGCACGGGGGGGCGAATCATGCGCGCACAGTCACGGGGGTCGATGACGGGTGATGGGGGACAGTGGGGGGGCGCGGATTCGAGTGTCCCGGTGCATGCACGCGGAATGGGTTTGGGAAAGGCGAGGAAGAGCAGCGCGCACCATGGCGGGGAAGGGCGAGCCGTCTCTACGCCTGACGAGGAACTCGCCGGTCCACACCTCCCCCTTGCTCAGCGCGCCGAAGATCTCCTCCGCCTGCTGCACCGTGGTGTCCGCGGGCGTCACGTCCATTATCGCGCGCCCCACCGCCTCGCCCTCGCGCCACCCGTACATCATCTCCGCCGCCTTGTTCCTGCGCTCGGCGCGCACGATGACGGGGAGACAGGGGAGGCGGAAGGAGGAGAGCGTAAATTTCGAAAAGGGTGATGGGAGGAGGGCGCGTTCTGAACCTATCAAACGGGATTCGACCCACCAGCACGCAATGGGCCTATTAGCACCGCTCGACCCACCAGCAGCGCATTGAACCCACCAGTAGGTGATGGTGCCAGTGAGGTCGGTGCAGATGACGGCCTGCCCCACCGACGCCAGCAGGTCCTTCTGGAACGCCACTGGGGAAGGGAAGGGTGGGGGAGGAGGGAAGGGGGGGAGAACATGGGTGGGGGCCACGGGCGGGGAGGGCGGAATATGCGAAGAAAATAGTAGGGGGTTGGGGTGTGTGCGGCGACACAATGCGGATGACGCGACGCCAGATTCAAGAGCACACTTCCAGGCCGTCGTTGCGCAGCTGGCAGGAGGCGGACATGCAAGGCACGACGGCAACTCACACAGCTGCGAACGTTTGCCGTCCCGAGGGGTGACGTGCGCGCGACGAGCGCGTTTGGGGATGACCCCCGCGACATACGGGACGGCGGGTTGCGGGTCGGCGACAGAACGCTGGCGAACCGAGAGAGAAGACACGTGTAGAGCTGGGATGGGTTTTGCGGGTGGGGATGTTACCTTCGCGTTTGTAGTTCTCATGGTCCGACTCGAGCCTCTTAACTGCGTCCACCAGCTCGCATCGCGACAACCTCTCGAGAGCCATGGACCGCTCCGGCGGGTCTGAGGCCGTGGGCAGCTGCAGGCGCATGCCGGGCACGTCGCAGCGCGGCACAGGCTCCGCGAAGGCCACGACTTCCACCACGCGCGGGAAAGACGGGGACGGCGCGCTCGTGCTGTCGATGGTGCTAGTATTGCTAGCACTGCCGATTTCCTCCGCGGAACCAGCAACAGTCCCCACGGCGGCGTCCACCACTCCACGCGGGGACTTGGCTTCGAAGTCGCTGCTACTTCCCTCGATGCCACTCTCGCTCTGCACCGGGCGTTTCATGGAGATTCGTCCTCGTGCCTTCACCACATAGATATGAGGGAACGATGGTGTCCCGTCCCGTCCTGGCCACAGCACTGGCGGAGATGGATTAGTAGCAGGCCTGGTTGCCCGCAAACATGACTCGGCTTGGCGCGTTGCTGAAGGCTGGCTCAGTTTTGTGAGCTCCCTGTAAAGAAGACCAATGCCTCTGGTGTCGGGTTCGAGAAGCAGAAGCTACAACGACATGATGACTGCCAATAGAGCAAGTGATTCGCCCCTGAGCCACTGTTTCTCCTGCCTCTGATGTCGTGTAGCCGTATGGCTGGCTGGTTTGTGTGCGAATTGATCAGTTTGTGAGTGGCGGGCAAAAGCCTATCTTGCCTTCTATGTCCTCTTCGAACAACCACCGCCCCATTTTCCTTAAAACACGCGTGCGGAGTAGCTCAATGGTAGGAAGGCTGGTTGGATAGGAGGACGGGATTGGTTGTCGAGTGGTTATCCTAGGGAACTCTCAACCAAAGGTGGGAAGCTCGAGGCAATTTGGGGACATTTGGTTCGCGGTTTTTAAACACAGACTCCATCCATTCTCCTGTATTTGTTGAGAGGCGGTCTGGGTGGGTTGAGTACGGTGGAATCGGCATTGGTTGCCTTGCCTGGTTGGGCGCTCCACCTCTGGGCGCGCAATGTAAGTGATTTTCGGGGCAGCGGAAGAACATCGGGTACAGTATATAGTAGAACAACCCGATTTCTCCTCCAGTATCTCTCGGTCAGCGCGTGCTCGTTGCATAGCCATGCTTTCTTCGCGAGTGCTGAGCTGAGCCAGCTGGTTTTCCTCCCTAACGATTTGAAAATGGAAAATTTCCAGCCCTACTGGATCTCTCCCAGCTCTCGCAAGGCTTTCAGCACGGACGGGAGTACACTGTGATGGAGGAAGGACAGTTCTCTACGTACAGTACTCTAAACCTGAGGGACTGAACAGTGGCGAAAACCATGCACCATAAACCTCGTTTGTCTCAAATCACGTACAAAAAAGCGGATACCAGTCATTGTCCAGATCAGCTTCTTATCACATTGTGAAATGGAATTTCACATTGCTCTGGACCAAATATGGCTTAGTGTGGGAAAAACCACAGATGAGAACGGGCTGAGCGGGCCCCTTTGACATGCCCCAGGGTCTCCAAAAAAACTTCAATACATCCCACAGTGTCACCTGAACATACGTGAGTTCTCGAAGGAAACAGGGAACTAGTCACCTGCTCACGACAGTACAGGAACAACATTCGGTTGAGTGCGCGGGTATTTTGGCTCTTGCGACCCTTCCAGTGTTTTAAACCTCCTCACCGGTTGCCCTCAGTGGGGCCAAACACTCGTCACTCCAGAGTACACCACTACTGCTTCGGGTGCTCGGGAAATACCCCCGACGGTCGGTTCCGCGCTGTGTCATGTACAATTACATTCCGCTTAAAAAAACGCAGCCGTCCCGACATACACGCTTGATTTTAACGAGGTTTAGGGTGTACAGTACAACGAATGAAGAAGCCCACGTGAGAGACAGATCAGATACACGAAACGCAGGGCGCCTCTCGCGAGTCAATCAGCCTGAGGATCACACGGTCCGAGGACGAGGATTTTGCGAGTAGACGTTGCCCCGAGAAACACGAGGAACAAGCCCCCCCCACCCCCCCCCCCCCCCCCCCCCCCCCCCCCCCACCCCCACAAATACCCACCCATTTCGCCGTGTGCTCGTGCGACAGCCTCATTTGCCCGTAGCGAGGGAATGCGAAAGAATTGTGCGATTGAATTTTCGGCATCCTCAAATCTTGTGCTACCCTGACGAGCTTCGACTGTATGTCAGATTGGTAACCAGGCTACGCTATAAAGTTGCCCCTGAAAACAAAAACAAATGTGCCCGAAAGAGGCATCAGGTAGCGCAAGAGAAGCTACCCCGAAAGGCGATCCGAGATTCGTTGCGGATTTGGAACACGTTATTCTCCGTAGAGCGTATTCAGACTAGGCCGACTTAGGGGACCTCGACACGCCAGGAATGAATGGAATGCACTTCGGAACACGACGTCCGACGTCGGAATTCAATCGAGTCAGATGTAATTTTACACGGGCCACAGACAGGCGGTTCGAAAATTTAGAACCGTGTTCGCAAGAACGTAGAATCATACGCTCAAGTACTGTAAGTTGAGTGGCTCAACGAAGCGAAATGTGATGCGGGTTGCGCGAAAAATTTCTGGGCAACCGTTGAAAGTTTATATGTGCCCGCGTAATACTGCCGATGTAGGCCCAATTCATTTCGAATTATTGGGCCGACGTCGTGCACTCTGAACATGTTGATGCTCTGTATTTCGCGTAGAAGTGGCCGATGTCGGGAAAATGAATACAGTAAATTCCACTCTGAACACGCTCTTGAGGTACAGAACAACATGAGTTGAGCCGACAAGCATAAAGCTACATTAGCACAACCCATGTCAACATAGCCGATTAGTGATTGTTACAACATTATTGATACGGCAAACAATATTGGGCTTGTGTAACATATCAAGCAAATGCATGGCGATAGTATTCTGAGAGGATAGGCAATAGTGACACAATAATGTTTCCCCCATACATGGTTTGGATAATGTGATTTGGATCATACACCATAAGCTTGAGGTTACAGTAGTTGGAAAGTTCCGTGGTTTCCTTGAAAGTTGGTTACCGCTGCCAGCATTTCGTAGCCCCCCATTTACGAAAATGCAGGGGGCTAGTCTGTTCTGGAAGATGGTGGCTGACAGCTCCACAAGTGGCGTGGCTTTCTGGATTGGTTGAGACAAGAAGCGTAGCTTTCTGGTTGGTCGAGCCCAATTTTGCGACGTGGTTCTGCGTGGACGACCCGGAGCGACTGTGAAAAGGCTTCAGTTTGTCGTGCGACACGGAAGCAGTCCGACGTGGCAATGGAACATTCTTCCCGCCTCTCTCGATAAATCTCGATCACTCTTCTCCCCATTGCCCAGTCTATGCGTGTCTGCGGGAAGCTCAGCTCATCGAACTTCCTTGAAAGCAGTTGGGGCAATTTCAGCAAATCCAGTGCTGCGGGATTTGGCACAGGGATTCGTCGCTTCATCCGCCTTTCATCTTTTCTCAGATCTCTCAGCTAGCTCTGCCCTCTTGCGCTTAGCCATGGCTCGCACAGATAGGGTCCTCGGGTTCCTTGTTCTATGCGCTTTAGCGTGCTGCGCGTGGGCAGCAGATGATGCACCGAAGCTGGGGACGGTGATCGGCATCGATCTGGGCACGACGTACTCGTGCGTGGGCGTGTACAAGAACGGGCACGTGGAGATCATCGCCAACGACCAGGGCAACCGCATCACGCCCTCGTGGGTCGCCTTCACGGACGCGGAGCGCCTCATCGGCGAGGCGGCCAAGAACCAGTTCGCCTCCAACCCCGAGCGAACCGTCTTCGATGTCAAGCGACTCATCGGCCGCAAGTAAGCCTTGTCTGGCACTCCTTTGGCTTGTCCGTACTTTACTTTTGTCGGAAACTGCCCGTTTTCTTCAAGTATTTTTTGGCATGTGACAATTGTCTCGATCTGACAGTGCACGCGGCCCCTTCTGATGATGGCGTCCTGCAGGTTCGCGGACAAGGAGGTGCAGCGCGACATGAAGCTCGTGCCGTTCAAGATCGTCAACCGCGACGGCAAGCCGTACGTGGAGGTGCACGTCAAGGGCGAGAAGAAGGTGTTCTCGCCCGAGGAGGTGAGCGCCATGATCCTGGGCAAGATGAAGGACACGGCGGAGGCGTACCTGGGCAAGAAGATCAAGGACGCCGTCGTCACGGTGCCCGCATACTTCAACGACGCGCAGCGGCAGGCCACCAAGGACGCGGGCGTGATCGCGGGGCTGAACGTGGCGCGCATCATCAACGAGCCCACGGCGGCCGCCATCGCGTACGGCATGGACAAGAAGGGCGGCGAGAAGAACATCCTCGTCTTCGACCTCGGCGGCGGCACCTTCGACGTGAGCATCCTCACGATCGACAACGGCGTGTTCGAGGTGCTGGCGACCAACGGCGACACGCACCTGGGCGGCGAGGACTTCGACCAGCGCATCATGGAGTACTTTATCAAGCTCATCAAGAAGAAGTACAACAAGGACATCAGCAAGGACAACAAGGCGCTCGGCAAGCTGCGCCGCGAGGCCGAGCGCGCCAAGCGCGCGCTGAGCAACCAGCACCAGGTGCGCGTGGAGATCGAGTCGCTCTTCGACGGCACGGACTTCAGCGAGCCGCTGACGCGCGCGCGGTTCGAGGAGCTGAACAACGACCTGTTCCGGAAGACGATGGGGCCGGTGAAGAAGGCGATGGAGGACGCGGGGCTGCAGAAGACGGAGATCCACGAGATCGTGCTGGTGGGCGGCAGCACGCGCATCCCCAAGGTGCAACAGCTGCTCAAGGACTACTTCGACGGCAAGGAGCCCAGCAAGGGCGTCAACCCCGATGAGGCCGTCGCCTACGGCGCCGCCGTGCAGGGCGGCATCCTCAGCGGCGAGGGCGGCGATGAGACCAAAGGTATGAGAAAGGGTCGGGTGGTGCTGTGGTGGTGATGGTGAATCACTCGCGTGGGGATGGTGCCGGGGGTGGTGTGGTGCTGCTGTGTGGTTTCAAACATAAACGTAAGGATGAAAAGGAACTGGATTTACTGCTACACGAATGGTGAAGCGAGTCTGCCCTCAGAACGAGCTTCTCATCTGAAATTGCCCTCTTCTGCGTGTCGCTCCCCCGCCAGACATTCTGCTGCTGGACGTGACGCCGTTGACGCTGGGCATTGAGACGGTGGGCGGCGTGATGACGAAGCTGATCACGCGCAACACGGTGATCCCCACGAAGAAGTCGCAGACGTTCACGACGTACCAGGACCAGCAGACGGTGGTGTCCATCCAGGTGTTCGAGGGCGAGCGCGCCATGACCAAGGACAACCACAACCTCGGCAAGTTCGACCTCACTGGCATCCCGCCCGCGCCGCGGGGCGTGCCGCAGATCGAGGTAACGTTCGAGCTGGATGCGAACGGCATCCTGAACGTGAAGGCGGAGGACAAGGGGTCGGGCAAGAGCGAGAAGATCACCATCACCAACGACAAGGGGCGCCTCAGCCAGGACGACATCGAGCGCATGGTGCGCGAGGCGGAGGAGTTCGCGGACGAGGACAAGAAGGTGAAGGAGCGCGTGGACGCGCGCAACTCGCTGGAGACGTACGTCTACAACATGAAGAACACCATCGGCGACAAGGACAAGGTGGGCGGCAAGATCTCGGACGAGGATAAGGAGACCATTGAGGGCGCGGTGAAGGAGGCGCTGGAGTGGCTGGACGACAACCAGAGCGCGGAGAAGGAGGAGTATGAGGACAAGCTCAAGGAGGTGGAGGGCGTGTGCAACCCCATCATGACCAAGCTCTACCAGGCTGGTGGCGGGCCCAGTGGCGGTGCGGCGGGCGGTGAGGATGACGAGCCGGAGGACCATGATGAGCTGTGAGGGGGGAATGACGGAAGCAGCGGGCGATGCTTCGAGTAGTGGGGTTTAACACGCCGTCCTAGACCTCAAGCAGGTTGGACTAGGTTTGAGATTACTAAGGTACTACCCTTGTAGGATTTTGAATACTGCGTTGAGCGGTGGCTCATGCGTAATCACTGCCTAAACCATATAATACGTTGATTCTCCTTGATTTTGAAGAACTGTTTGTTGCAACTATGTAACGGTAGGTTGTGTGGCTGTGTGGTAGCTGAGCTGCTAGCCTCCACCAGTAAATATGATTGCTGGAACGGGTGATGGGATTGGAAATAATGCATCCGGGTAACCTGGCCTGGTGCTTACGTCCTAATGTATTAAAGATTATTGTCCGCCTCTAACATGGGACTTCCAATATGGTAGACGAAAGACACAGCTGAACACAATTAACTCTTCAGTTGGCCCATTTATTGTTACCGTTACATGATGGGTTAAGACAGCAAGCCCTCCATCCCTTCACCTCCCATGCTCCTCACCAATCTCCACTCCTCCATCCGCCGCTCTCTCCTCTATGCCGCCCCCTGGATCCCGCACCTCCCCCACCCCGCCCCCCTGCTGCATATCTCTCATGAGCATGTGCGCGTAGAGCAGCTGGTTCCACGTGTCGGGCACGCCCGGCATGCACCAGTGCAGGCAGTCCTGGTGGGCTGCGTCCAGCAGGTAGCCCCACTGCGACGGGTGCGCGTCGGCGCGGAAGGAGGACAGGTGCGACGCGTTGAGCAGGTGCAGAGAGGGCAGCCCCGCCACCGCTGCCTCGGCTGGGGGGTCGCGAGACGAGTTGAGCGGCAACACGGCGGCCAGGGACAGGGGTTCCTGGGGAGGTGGGGGTGGAGGGGTGGAATGGGAGGGGGCGGGTGGGGGGGTGAGAGAGGGGGAGCAGGGAGAGTGGAGAGAGTGGGGAGCTGTGAGCCGATGGTGAATTGGAAGGTAAACTGGTTAGCTGGGTGAAGATGTGCGCGCATGCTGCGTTGCCCATCTCACCCGCTTGTGGTCACAGTGGCCACGTGTGTTCCACTCGCCGTCAAAGAAGTGCCGCGGAGATGCTGTGCGCAACAGCAGCAGGGGAGGCCTTCGCTGCTGCCCGCTGCTGCTGCTGCTGCTGCCTGCATCGCCCTCGGCTGCAGGTGACCCATCCTCCCCACCCTCTCCTCCTGCTCTCCCCTCTCCACCCTCTCCTCCCTTGTCCCTCTCCGCCACCTGGCGGTGCAGCCAGGCCATGGTGGAGCGCAGGGCGATGCGCTGCAGGGTGTGGATGACGTCAGCGTTGCCCTCTATGTGCACCGTGCTGCCCTCCGCACTCACACTGCTCTTCTCGCTGCTGCCCTGGACGCCCTCTGCCTTGCCCTCACTGCTGCTGCCATTGCCACTGCTGCTGTTGCCATGAGCTGCCTGGTGGGTCTGTGGTGGTAGCGGTGCATTGACGTGCACATCGAGGTGCAGTGAGGGGTCGTCGACGTTGACTGGCTGCCCTGCTATGTGCACGTCCCACTTGCTCTCCCGCAGCTTGTGCCTGGTGTGCCATGCCGTGCAACAGGTGTAAGGAGAGAATTACACATGGTATGGAAGTGCCGTAGCATGGCATGCTCTGCTCATAGGCAGAGGAATCATGCAGCATTACTCCATGGCTCCTATCCCACGCCTCTCACGCTTCACCTGCTCCAGTGGTGCGCACTCTTCATGACTCACCTGCTCCACCCTAAACACTGTTCACGCCTCACCTGCTCCAGTGGTGCGCACTGTTCATGAGCACCACGTCCAGCCGGCCCAGGTGTTTGCTCAGGAAGTCATCGGGCTGGTCCACGTGCATGGCGGCCCCGCCCTCCAGCATGTCGCTCATGTTGTAGTACGCGATCTGGGGGGCGGGCCACAGGCCACAGCGAGAGTCAGGGCCATGGAGGTGCGACGGCGCAGCGCTGCTTGACTTGCTTTTCTAGTTTCCACGTTTCGCCTCTTCACCATGAGAGGAAGTCCACACCCCAGCAGCGCCCACCTTGCAGAGGCACGAGCTCCAGGAGAAGGCGACGGTGGTGTTGGTGGCGGTGAAGCGCACGGCATAGCCGGTGGGGCGCAGGCGCTTGTACTTGCTGCTCACGGGGATGTTCACAAAGCCCCACTCCCCCGCCACGTCCTCCGTGCCTGCTGGCAGGGCGGCGCTGGCCAGCAGGCAGAGCAGCGACTGGAACTGCTGCTGCCCCAGCGAGTCGCCCACAATGGCCACGGCGCGGTGCTGCATGCGCTGCAGGAAGTCAACGGGGTCAAACGCTGGCAGGTCGCAGTCGGCCGGGCGCCACTGCAGGCCCTCGTGGGCGAACGAGGGGCGGTCCTTGGCCTTGCGGCACGCCCACTGCGGGCTGAGCCACGGGCAGGTGGCGCCCGAGTAGAGAGGCGGGCTGCTGGCCGGCACCCACTCGCCACGAGAGAGGTCACAGGTGGGGTGCAGGGCTGGGGGAGGGGGTGGGGAAGAGAGAAGTGGCAGTGACGGGGGAGGAGGTAGCATGAGCGAAGCTGAGAAAGGCTTGAAATGCAGAAGAGGGTTTCAAATCCCGGTCGCGCAGGGCACGAGTGAGAGCATGCGGACCTCGGGACGCGGCGGAGGGGCCAGCCGCTGCAAGGGGCTCAGCGCTGGCACCGTCAGCGACCGCTGTGCCCTCCTCGTGCTGCTTCACGTTCCCTTGAGTCACGTTCCCTTGAGTCACGATGCGTTGAGTCACGTTGCCTTGAGCCACGTTGCCTTGAGTCATGCTGCCTTGAGTCACGTTGCGTTGAGTCACATTGCGTTGAGTCACATTGCGTTGAGTCATAGTGTCTGTCGCTGTCCCCTGTGCACGCTTCTGGTTGCTGCTCATGCCTTCTCTCTCCACATCCGCCTCTCTCTCCCCTCTCCTCCCGTGGCCCCTCTTCGCTTTGCTCATCTGATCGCTCTCACCAGCTTCGCCGCCTCCCTTCCCCCCTGACCCATCCTTCTCACTGCCCACTCCCGTCTCCTCACCGCCGTCTCCTCTCCTCCTCTCCTCCGCTCGTTCCAGCACCCCTTCGCCACCACCAGCCGTCTCCCCGCCATCGCCCGCCGCCTGCCCATCCGCGCCCCCTCCTCCACGTGCCGTTCCTCTCTCCCCCCTGCCCCCACTGCCGGCTGCGCCGCTCTCACTGCCACGGCTGCCCGCCCGGCGTCCATTCGCCGCCACGGCTGCCACCACTTTCTCCAGCGCGCCCTTCCCCTCACCACGCTCTGCGCGCTCCTTTCCTCGCTGCCCTTTGCTCTCCCTCCCCTCGCCCCCCCCTGCGCCTTCCCTTTCCGCGTCACTCCGCTTCGCCTTCTCTCCTGTTCTTCTCTCCTCGCCATCCGCGCCGCCCCTTCCTTCCGGATCACCATCGCTCGCATTCCCTGTCCGCCTCTCGCCCGCCGTCCCACCCGCCACCAGCGCACTAGCGCGCAATGCGTCGCCTGCTGGCCGCTCGTCTGTGTCGCTGGTGGTCGCGAGCAGGTCGCGCGGTGGGGGGCCGGGCGACGACGCGAGCAGCAGGGAGCCGCCGGCGAGCAGCGCGGCGAGGAGCGCAACGAGGGCGAGGAACGCCGTGCGGGCCGGCAGGCGGAGCAGCGGCCAGCGGTGTTGCGCGGACGGCAGGCGGGACGGCACGGGCGGTGGGGATGCGTGGATCGCAGGCGGCGAGTGTCCGCGGCGAGACCGCCCGTCTTCCGAATTGCGCGACGCTTGGCTTTCGCGCAACAGTCGGCCGTCAGCCGTTGCTGATAGCAGCGACGCCGCCGAGTCGTCGGAGCGCAGCGTGGTGGTCGAGTCGGGAGGCGGCGGCTGGAGGATGGGCAGCAGCGGCTGGTCCAGCGCCATGGCGGCGCGCATCTGCGGCGACCGCTGCTGTGGACCAGCTACGGGCCGTAGCTGTGGCGACCGCTGCTGCAGACCGGCTGAGGCGGTACTCGTGGTAGCAGTGGTGGCGGTGGTGGTGGCGTCAGATGCCGGTGGAAGTGACGCCATAACGAACAAGAATACTATTTATTTACCCGCGATCACATGACTCCTTGCTAAGTGGAGCGTAGGCGACTAGGGAGAACGATAAGGAACGGGCGGACACGACATTCTGGCCCGAGTGAGAGAGGGCTGGTCGTGTGCGATGCGAAAAGGTGAGCGACCCCAATGATCGCACGGAAAGCTGGCGAAATGCGGTGCATTGGCTGGTTGGAAGCCCCAAGGAAATGAATTTGGGCGACCGAGGCCTGGTGAGATGAATCTGTCGCATTGTTTCGATTTCGTCGCACGATTTCTTCGCTTCGGACGCCTCAACAATTCCGTCGATCCATTTCCTCAACGGTGAATCGACGACGCACGTCCAACCACGAAATCACGAACCGCGATCCGATATCTAATCTCACTTCGGCTGGTAACCTGGGGTCGACGAAGTAACAAAGACTTTAGTCGACGTCGTTAGGGTTGAAAGGGAATGGACAATCCACAGGCTTCGACCCCAACTGCAGTTCAAAATCCCCCGCCATTTTGCCTGCCTCTCGCCGTCTTCTCAACTTCTCATTTTCTCGTCCTTATTCTCGCCTGCCCTCGCACCTCGCCGTCTCTGCCGCCCGCTTTCACCCGTTCATGGCTCTATTAGCGCGCCTCCCATCGCCGTCGCTCGCGTCTCGAGTCACCTCGCGCCAGCAGAGCGCAGCGGAGCTGCTGTCCGCCGCCGCTGCTCTCCGCGCAGCGCACCCCCTCCTCTCCGCCGCCGCCTCGCCGTGCGCGCTCTCCGCTTCACCCGCGCCGTCAGCCGCGGCGGAATTCGACGTTGCGCCGTTCTGCCCGCTCTTCTCGTCGCGACGCACCGCTCGATTCGCGCAGCGGAGGGGTTCAAGAGCCGCGAGGCACGTGGCGCGCGCTATGGCGGAGGCGGACGCCGCAACTGCCGCCGTGAACGGCGGAGCTGCCGCAGCGGTGCCCTCAGCGAGCGACGGTGCGTGGCTTGCCGTGCGGTGCAGTGAGATTGAGCGGGAAGAGAAGCGTCTGTGGGTGTCTCGGGCAGTAGAGGCTTGGTGATCCGCTGACGGGCCTCGTGCTGATCGCGCTGGGGCTCATGGCTCCATCGGGAGAAGCAGCGCGATCTACGGCTGAGCGCACGGGACATGCTGCCTCTGGCGCACGGGACATGCTGCCTCTGGCGCACGGGACATGCTGCCTCTGGCGCACGGGACATGCTGCCTCTGGCGCACGGGACATGCTGCCTCTGGCGCACGGGACATGCTGCCTCTGGCGCACGGGACATGCTGCCTCTGGCGCACGGGACATGCTGCCTCTGGCGCACGGGACATGCTGCCTCTGGCGCACGGGACATGCTGCCTCTGGCGCACGGGACATGCTGCCTCTGGCGCACGGGACATGCTGCTCTGGCGCACGGGACATGCTGCCTCTGGCGCACGGGACATGCTGCCTCTGGCGCACGGGACATGCTGCCTCTGGCGCACGGGACATGCTGCCTCTGGCGCACGGGACATGCTGCCTCTGGCGCACGGGACATGCTGCCTCTGGCGCACGGGACATGCTGCCTCTGGCGCACGGGACATGCTGCCTCTGGCGCACGGGACATGCTGCCTCTGGCGCACGGGACATGCTGCCTCTGGCGCACGGGACATGCTGCCTCTGGCGCACGGGACATGCTGCCTCTGGCGCACGGGACATGCTGCCTCTGGCGCACGGGACATGCTGCCTCTGGCGCACGGGACATGCTGCCTCTGGCGCACGGGACATGCTGCCTCTGGCGCACGGGACATGCTGCCTCTGGCGCACGGGACATGCTGCCTCTGGCGCACGGGACATGCTGCCTCTGGCGCACGGGACATGCTGCCTCTGGCGCACGGGACATGCTGCCTCTGGCGCACGGGACATGCTGCCTCTGGCGCACGGGACATGCTGCCTCTGGCGCACGGGACATGCTGCCTCTGGCGCACGGGACATGCTGCCTCTGGCGCACGGGACATGCTGCCTCTGGCGCACGGGACATGCTGCCTCTGGCGCACGGGACATGCTGCCTCTGGCGCACGGGACATGCTGCCTCTGGCGCACGGGACATGCTGCCTCTGGCGCACGGGACATGCTGCCTCTGGCGCACGGGACATGCTGCCTCTGGCGCACGGGACATGCTGCCTCTGGCGCACGGGACATGCTGCCTCTGGCGCACGGGACATGCTGCCTCTGGCGCACGGGACATGCTGCCTCTGGCGCACGGGACATGCTGCCTCTGGCGCACGGGACATGCTGCCTCTGGCGCACGGGACATGCTGCCTCTGGCGCACGGGACATGCTGCCTCTGGCGCACGGGACATGCTGCCTCTGGCGCACGGGACATGCTGCCTCTGGCGCACGGGACATGCTGCCTCTGGCGCACGGGACATGCTGCCTCTGGCGCACGGGACATGCTGCCTCTGGCGCACGGGACATGCTGCCTCTGGCGCACGGGACATGCTGCCTCTGGCGCACGGGACATGCTGCCTCTGGCGCACGGGACATGCTGCCTCTGGCGCACGGGACATGCTGCCTCTGGCGCACGGGACATGCTGCCTCTGGCGCACGGGACATGCTGCCTCTGGCGCACGGGACATGCTGCCTCTGGCGCACGGGACATGCTGCCTCTGGCGCACGGGACATGCTGCCTCTGGCGCACGGGACATGCTGCCTCTGGCGCACGGGACATGCTGCCTCTGGCGCACGGGACATGCTGCCTCTGGCGCACGGGACATGCTGCCTCTGGCGCACGGGACATGCTGCCTCTGGCGCACGGGACATGCTGCCTCTGGCGCACGGGATGAGCGGCGCTTCTCGCGCCCAGCTGAATCGTTCCCCTGCGCCTCTGCTTCCTCGTCCTTACCCCGTCATCCATGCTGCCCCCATCCCCGGCATGCGTGCAGGGCAGCGCGTGGCGACGGTGGCGCGGACGACCAAGGAGACGGACGTGGAGGTAACGATCGCCATCGATGGGGACGGCGTGTGCCAATCAGCGACCGGCATTCCGTTCCTCGACCACATGATGGACGTGAGGGAGACGCATGGTGGATGTGAGGGGCACATGATGGGTGTGAGGGGCACATGGTGGGTGTGAGGGGCACATGGTGGATGTGAGGGGCACATGGTGGGTGTGAGGGGCACATGGTGGGTGTGAGGGGCACATGGTGGGTGTGAGGGGCACATGGTGGGTGTGAGGGGCACATGGTGGGTGTGAGGGAGACGCATGGTGGATGTGAGGGGCACATGATGGGTGTGAGGGGCACATGGTGGATGTGAGGGGCACATGGTGGATGTGAGGGGCACATGGTGGATGTGAGGGGCACATGGTGGGTGTGAGGGGCACATGGTGGATGTGAGGGGCACATGGTGGGTGTGAGGGGCATGGGATTGACTATGACAGGTGTTGTCGTTGTTGGATGCCCCTACTCGTCCATATGTCCCCAGCCCATGAGCTGCATTCCCTTGTGTTGCACCTGTTCCCTCTGGACCTCAACACTTCACCAACCCCACCACCCCACCACCCCACCACCCCACCTGCCACTCCCGCCACTCACCACATTCCCTTGCTCCAATACCCCCCCCCCCACTTCCCCTCTGCCCCCCCAGCAGCAGCTGGCGTCGCACGGGTTGTTTGACGTGGCGGTGCGCGCGGTGGGCGATGTGCACATCGACGACCACCACACCAACGAGGACATCGGCCTCGCCCTCGGCACGGTCAGTGCCGTGTGGCGTGCCATGGCATGGCATGGCATGGCATGTCCTGGTGTTAGACACTGCGAGCTCGTGGCTGCGCTAAACATGCTCGGCACACATGTGGTTTGCATTCACGTCGAGCATGCATGCGTGCGTGAGATGAGTCACCTGCCACCACCTGGTTCTCTCAAAGGCATGGCACCTTCACACCGTCGTTTGCTGCATGCCACTGTGACACCAGCCTGGCCTCCCTGCCTACTGCCCCCCCCTGCACAGGCCCTGGCCAAGGCTCTGGGCGACCGCAAGGGCATTCGCCGCTTCGGTGACTTCTGCGCTCCGCTGGACGAGGCGCTCATCCACGTGGTGCTGGTAGGCGCTCATCAGCATCAGCTGCTGTCTAAGCATCAGTTTGCTGTACTCTCTCATGCCTGCACAATGCACTGATTTTTGCCAACCCAACTTTTTCACCCCTCTCCTCTCACCGCTCTTTCACCCCTCTCCTCTCTCCCCTCCGTGTCCTCCGTGCCCTCGTGCAATCAATCCCACCCCACCCCCGCCACCTCTCCCCCGTCAGGACCTGTCAGGGCGGCCGCACCTCTCGTTTGATGTGACCATGCCCACAGAGAGAGTCGGCACGTACGACACGCAGGTGGACAACTTGATTAGATAGTTGCCTCTACCTCTGCTCCCTTCCTCACATGCCGAACCCCCGTCTCTGCAACCTGTGCCATTGTCGCCCACTTCCCCTTCCACTTTGCCCAATCCCATGCCCCTTTCACCAGTCCCGCCTTCCTGTCTGCTCCCCTCTCTCCATTCAGCTTTCTCTCCCACCACCCCCCCCCCCCCCCCCCTCCCCCCCCTCCCCCCCCCCTCCCCCGGGTGCGGGCAGCTGGTGGAGCATTTCTTCCAGTCGCTCGTCAACACCAGCGGCATGACACTGCACATCCGCCAGGTGACGCGCTTCAGGTGTTTGTTCAGGGTACCTCTGATGCCCTTCAGGTGATTGTGCTCAGGTGCCCATCTTAGTCAACCCCTTCACATGTGTCATCTGGGAGCATGTGCTCACCAGCCATGTCATTCCTTCTCCTTGCCATCTCCCATGTCCCTGCTGCACCTTCTCTGTCTCACGTTCTCCCGTACGTCATCACTACCCCCCCCCTCCCCCCCTTCTGTCCGCTTGCAGCTGGCGGGCAGCAACACGCACCACATCATTGAGGCCACCTTCAAGGCGTTTGCCAGGGCGCTCAGACAGGCCACTGAGATCGACCCCCGCCGAGCACACTCCGTGCCCAGGTGAATTCCGTGCCCACGAGAATTCCATGCGCAGGTGAATGTTGTGCCCAGGTGAATTCCATGTCCAGGTGAATGTTGTGCCCAGGTGAATTTCGGTGCCCAGGTGAACTTTCAACAGTGTCCCAGTAAATCCCCAGCCGAGCTTTGCCCATGCACAACAAATCTTTATAATTTCTGTTTCTTTACCGGCATTCTCCTCCTTCCTGCCCTCCATCTCCATGCCTCCACTCCCGGCTCTTGTGCCGCCCCATAGTTCCAAGGGAGTGCTCTCACGCACGTGATGCGTCTGCTGCTCCACAGTGACACCCTAGGAATCCCGATGCATTCACCCGCAGCGAGACAATCAGGGTGGTGTTGACGTGTTACTGTTGTTGCGTAGTGCATATGCTGGTGCACAACATTCGGGATGGGGTTGTAAAGCTGTGGCGTGGGCCTCTTCGTTCATCTAGTTCCACCATCTATTCAACCATGTTCGGATTCCATTTTGTAGATTTCTAGACTCTGCTCGTTTGCCAATATTTTTTACGCATTTGTGGGAGCCCCTACCAATCATCCACACAGACATACATTACCCCATTGCACATGCGACACACATTACCCCATAGCGAACGGAGCAAATATTGAGCAAACTCACATTCAAGGTTGTCGCGTTGGGATGAAAGCATTGATGCGAGCATGGAAGGCATAACGTGTAGCGGGGTTATCAAAGCGGCGTACACACGATATTCCGAGTTTCCCAGTTTCCCGCCGAATCCAGCAAAGATCTGCGCGGGACCACGTCATGCCCAGAATCACTCTGATTGCCCACCTGAGTGCGCGAAGACAACCAGACCAAGCCAAACCCGACATCACTTCACGTCCATCTATGTTCCGCTTCGCCTCGCATCAACGTTTCTCCGCCCCTCACTTCCTTTTTCCTTGGCCAGTTTCTCTCTCACCTGCCCCCCTCCCTCGCCGCACCGCGCTATGACGTCCTCCAGAACGGCAGCCAGCAGTTTGCGGATGGACGTGCTCCTTCGCGCCTCGCATTCCGCGCACCTTCCACTACTTCCGCGATACGCGCAGCGGCGGCACGCGGCGGATCTTCAGGTCTCGTCCAGCGGGCGCGTCTCTCGCCGCCCGCTCCTCCCCACGGGCCGGCGGTCGGATCTAGTGGCGGCAGGAGCGCGCCAGCCGTCGAGGTGCGTCTCTCACTCGCAACGGGTGTCCATCGTGCCGCGCCGGGTGCTGCTCTCGCGTCGTCGTCTTGCCCACATGCATGCCGCCTTCACAACGTCGTTCGATGCCGCCTACTCTCCCGTCAAGCCGCTATCCCCATTCCACCTCCCTTCCCCCACCTCGTGCTTGCGCGCTCCTAAGCCCCGAACCTCGCTCCCTCGTTCCTCCAACCCCCTTCCCTCTCCCCCAGCTGCCGCGCGTCCTTCAACGGCTTCGGCCGGCGATCCTCGCGCTCGCGGGACGAGCGCAGTCATGCGCACGCGCGCGCAGAGGGAGGCATGTGGCAGGGGGGGGAGGGGGAGGAGAGGGGACGGCGGGATGCCGGCAGATCAGCGTCGGGGGGAGCGGGTCCCGCGTGGATGGGGATGGGCGCGGGGGGAGGGGGAGCGCGGGCGGGCATGGGCGACGTGCAGCGGCTGCTGATCGGGGGGGCGGTGCTGGCGGCGGTGACATGGCTCAAGTTCGCCACGGAGGGGCATCTGGGCTGGCTGGGGGACGGCGCGCTCGAGGGCGTGGCGCAGCTCTGGGTACGGCGGGGGAGCGCTGGGAACGGCTGGGGAGCGCGGGGGACCTCTGAGTAGGGGTGGGGACGGCCCGGAGCTGGGGTGCACAGCGTTTCTCTCGCATCCGTTCCATCCATCCACGCCTCGCTGCCCTTCACCTGTCGGATTCGCGTCCCCCCATCCCTCTGCTGCTCCCTTCCGCCCCCCCATCCCTCTGCTGCTCCCTTCCGCCCCCCCATCCCTCTGCTGCTCCCTTCCGTCCCTCCGCCTCCCTAACAAGGCTGCCCTTGTCTCCCGTCCCCCCCTCCCTCCCCGTCGCCCCTGCGTCCCTGGTGCGCGCCCGCCCTGCCCCCCCCCTGGCAGTTCGTGTTCTACCTGCTGGACCTTTCCCTCACCACCGCCACGTGGATCGTCGGAAAGCTCACCTCAACGCTCGCCGTCGCCAATGTACGCCTCGCTCTCCCTGCCCCCTCTCTGCCTCCCCCGCTCTCCCTGCCCGCTCTCTGCCTCCCCGCGCTCGCCTCCCTTCCCACAAGCACTCTCCCTGCCCCTATGCTGCCCTCTTGCCACCACGTTCCTCTGCCCCCATGCTGCCCTCTTGCCACCACGTTCCTCTGCCCCCCACCTCATCCCTCCGCTCACTGCTGACTGCTGTCCGCCCGTTGCTGCCCGTCCGTGCGCGTGCGTGCGTGCAGTGCCCCTGGTGTGACCACCAGTTCACCTTCGACAGGTGAGGCCGGGAAGTAGAGGGCGGGAAGTAGAGGCCGGGAAGTAGAGGGCGGGAAGTAGAGGGCGGGAAGTAGAGGGCGGGAAGTAGAGGGCTGTACGCCATGTGCAGCGTGGACAGCTATAGACAAGGCCACAACATGTAGTTGGAGAGCCACTGCCGAAGGGGTGGAACGGCTTGATGTTGACTTGCCCCCACACCCACCACATGGCCTAATCAACCAGCAACCCAATCCGTGCCATCCACTTGCTGCAATCCGGTCGTTCTCCACATCTCCCTCTCCTACCTTCCCCCCCTGCGGATTTGCCTTCCTCGCCCATCTTCGCCCTGTCTGTGGTATGTTTGCGTGCGCGTGGGGTTTGCCTGCCATCCGTCTGTCTCCCCGGGAGCAGGAACGCCGTGTCGCATGGAGCACCTGTCTGCCCCTCGTGCCTTCGCTCCATGAAATGTCAGTCATCTCAGTACCACTAAAGCCAGGCATCTTTCAACCTCTCCACCTTCCGTGCTTCCAATCCCCTACTGCTGGCTCTCGGACCCGCATGCCACTTCCTTGGGTTTCCCGGCTGAATCCAGCAGTGCAACTCTCCACTGCTTACTGCTGTTTCTTCTCCCCTCTCTGTCTGTGCCAACTGTGCTGTGTGGCAACTGCGGATGTCACAATGTGTTGGTCGCGTGCAGATGAAGACGGCCAGTTCCAACAAGGAGATGGCGGCCGCTCTGGCTTCAGTGCGCGATCAAGTAATGCTCCATTGCAGACTCCACTTGCACTGCTTGCATTGTAGCATATGCCCCGTGGACCGTGCAAACGCCATAGCTAATGTGGCTGCTGTGTTTCCATGTGTGCATGGTGGCAGGGTCCCAAGGGCAACAAGGCTGGAGGGCCACAGGGGACACTGTAGTGGACGTGGAGGCGACAATAATTGACAAGGAATAAGCCTTCTACAAGATTGCTTACCTCAGTATTTTACAGGGAGCAATTAGCGCGTGTACAAATAAAGTGCATTTCTGTTTTTTCATTGCTATCTAAATCATGGTTACAAATATCAGAATTAGAGAAGTGAATGATAGAGTGAGAGTACACACAGATATACCTAAGTGTTGTACCCTCTAAGAGGTGACCCTATACAGTCTATACAAAAATGACAAATGTTGGGCTGAGAAAAGCCCTTAGGATCTTTTTCAGAGACTAAGTCCCAGTTGTAAAAGGACTTGAGTAGTGCAGCGGAAGTTGAGGCAGTTGAACCCTTTGTTAACGTAGAAACGAATGATTACAAGAGGTGGAAACCTAGAACAAATACTAGTTGGTTGTACTCACTAGAAGCATACCTCAGTCTAGCCTATAACTTCTACATAGATAATATGTATAAGTTGACACACCCCCTAGGCTAGACAAGGGGTGAAACTAAACAAGAAGCAAACAGCTCAGGGCGGCACTACTAGTCCAACCACTGAGGCAGGGGTCTGGAGACCAGTCAGCAAGAATACAACCAAAACTGAAGCAAGCCAGGGTGGCACTACTAGTCCAGCCACTGGAGGTAAGGCCACAAGGCCAGTCTGACAAGCATATATAATAGAGAGTACACAATCAGGATCCTAACAGGGGAGCAGCTATAGGAACAAGACCAAGCTGTACACAGTGCCGCTGATGATCTTTAGGCGCAAGCGCCTTAGTAAAGATATCAGCTGTGTTGGCACCTGAGGCCAAGTGAACTACGCAGGCCTGGCGGCGCTGCTGTAGCTCGCGCAGGAGGAAGTACCGCAGCTGGATATGCTTCGCTCTGCCCTCAAGCCGAGGCTCCTGACACAGGAGTATCATGGCCCTGTTGTCAGCGTACAGGACCGGGGCAGAGCTAGGCCGCTCACCTAAGTCTGTGAGCAAGAAGGTCAGCCAGCGGAGCTCCTGTGCCGCCATGGCACCAGCGTAGATCTCAGCCTCACAGCTAGACTGAGCCACAGACGACGAGCGAGTGGATCTCCAAGAGATAGCACCCGAACCAAGGCTGAAACAGTAGCCCTGCGACGACCTGAGCGTCTCAGCGTCGTCTGCCCAAGAAGCGTCTGTGTGCCCAGTAAGGACCACTGGCCTGCGTCCTCCTAGCACTAACCCCATGCCTGATGTACTAGCAAGATAACGCAAAACCCTCTTAGCGGCAGACCAGTGCTGAGGTCGGTGTCTGCCTGTAGCCACAAAGCGAGCCAGGATGCTGAGAGGGTATGCGAGATCTGGGCGAGTGCAAGTCATCAGGTACATGAGGCAACCCACCAGCTCTGCGTAGGGGCCACTGGGCTCTACTGGCTCCTCAGGAACGGGAGCAGAGAGCCCATGGTCTACGGGTAGAGGTGTGGGCTGTGCGGAGGAGAACTGAAGACCGAACCTCTGAAGGACCTGACGCACCAAGTGTGACTGGGTCAGAGTGATGGTGCGTGCTGCTCTGTCCCTAGAGATCTGCAGGCCAAGATAGCGACGCAGCTCTCCAAGGTCAGTGCAGGTGTGTCTCTTCAGCAGCTCAGCCTTCACAGAGGCCAGTGCGTCCCTGTCAGGAGTAGCGAAGACCAGGTCGTCTACGTAGACAAGGATGTAGAACGGAGTCTGGCCGGAACGCACAAACAGTGAAGGGTCAGCAGAGGACGGAAAGAACTGCAGGTCTGCTAACGTGGCACGTAGCGTGTCGTGCCACTCGCGGGGAGCCTGACGCAGGCCGTAGACCGGGCGCCTGAGAAGCCACTGGGTCCCAGGAGGGAAGGTACCAGTGAAGCCCTGTGGTCGGCGCAGGTAGACCTGCTCGTGTAGGCTGCCCTGAAGAAAGGCAGTAGAGAAGTCGAGAGAGTGAAGCTCGTAGTCACGCTGTGCTGCTACGTGTAGCAGCGCCCGAAGAGTGGTCATCTTCGGGGTCGGGGCGAAGGTCTGGAAGAAGTCAACCCCCTCGCGCTGACTGAAACCTCTGGCCACGTAGCGCGCCTTGAAGACAGGCGGCTCTCCAGGGGGACGCTTCACCTTGAAGAGCCACCGACCATCGACTACGTTCACCCCAGGCGGGGGAACTGCGTCGACGTAAGTGCCGGTGGATCTCCAAGATGCCATCTCCTGCTCCATGGCAGCTATCCACTGAGAAGCCCAAGGTCCCGAGGTGGCCTCAGCGTAGGTGCGAGGGGTCGGGATGTCGAAGGCGTCTGGGTCACCCTCAGGGACTAACAGCATGGAGCAGAGATGGGGAGCAGCCTCGGAAAGGAAAGCCAGCTCGTACTGCCTGTCCTCTAGGACGTCACTGCCAAGGGCAGGAGCACCCCCGACGGACAGAGGACGGGCAGGGTCAGAGACCAGAGCGGTAGCGTAGTCAAGGCGGCGGGTAGAAGCGAAGTCAGCGACAGCAGCGACAAGCGCGTCAAGGCGCGAGACAGGAACAGCAGGGTCGGTAACAAGAGAGGCAAGGACCCGAGGGACAAGGGGACGAGCAGCACGGAGGTAGTCAGAGAACGGAGGAGGTGCAACAGCAAGGGACGAGGGAGGAGGGGACGGGAGGAGGGGAGGACGAGACGAGTGGGAACGAAGCAACATAGGGTGGGTGGGCAGGACAGGAGAGACGGGACGAGCACGGGAGGGACGGCGAGCCCAAACGTGAGACGGAGGGGTAGGGTCAGGGGACAGCGGAGGAGACACAGGAGGGGAACGAGGAGGAAGACGGGCCGGAGACGAGTCTGGCGGCGGGAACACAGGACCGTAGACAGGGAGGTCAGGAGGCGGTGGGGGAGACACCGGCGCGCGGTCCGGGGAGGGAAGGCCGAGCAGGCGGAGAGCGGAAACCGGCGGCGACGGCTGCTGTGGCGGCGACGACGGCTGGGCCGGAACTCTCGGACCAGCAGAGGCAGAACGACCGTCGGCAGAACACTCAACAGCAGCACCCCCAGAACCAACACCCCAAGAGCGAGAACCCCCTCCAACACCAGCGGCACCCCCAGAAGCCGCAGGACGAACACCCTCCTCCACACCAGCACCCCCAGGGGCCGAGAGCAGCGGCGGCAGTGGCGGCGACAGCGGCGACGGCTGCGGCGGCGACGGCGACGGCGGCGGCAGCGGGGTCGGCGACTGCGACAGTGGGGGCGGAGGCACTGGGGAAGGTGGACGCGGCAAGGACGGACCGGGGGTACCACCAGAGTCAGCAGACTCCTCAACGGGGACAACCGACGGGAGGGGAGTGACGTGAGAGACACCAGACGGGGCAGGACGAGGCGGGAGAGGGGCAGGGGCTACCGGGGGAGAGGGAGCAAGGAAAAGGGGGGGGGCAACTGGGAGACCTCGGTGAGGGAAGCGGCGGTAGAAGGAGACGGACTCGTCAAAGGTGACGTCACGAGAGTGGAGGAAGCGGTGAGACGGCGGGTGGTAGAAAAGCCAGTCAGACGAGTCCAGGGGGAAACCGAGGAAGACACAGGGGACAGTGCGGGCAGTGAGCTTGTCCGTGCCAGAGGCACGAACGTGAGCAAGGCAGCCCCAGACGTGGAACGCAGACGCGTCACCGGGGGACCCGGTCCAAAGGAGGGTCGGCGAAACCTGCGGCCGCTGGGAGCGTGGCCACAGGTTAAGCTGGTGAGCCGCGTAGCGAACAGCGAACGGCCACAGAAAATGGGGGGCATCGGCATGGATCATGGAGGTACGGGCGACCTCCATGACCAAGCCGATGCGGCGCTCAGCAACCCCATTCTGCTGTGGCGAGTCCGGCAAGGTGTACGACTGAGTGATGCCCTCCGCACGACAGAACTGTCCAAGCCGACCAGAGGCGAACTCGCCGCCACGGTCGGAGTGGAGACACAACACGGGGAGACCGCGGTGGAGACGCGCAGCTACAACCCACGGGAGAAGAACGTCGGGCACGTCGGCCTTCCGCTCCAGGGGAAACACCGTGGTGTAGCGCGTGTAGTCGTCAACGAGCACAAGGAAGTAGCGCTCACCGCGCGGTCCGGGGACGGGGGCAGGGCCCCAAACGTCCAAGTGCAGGGTCTGAAGGGGGGCAGTAGCAGGACGCAGCGAGGAGGAGTGAGGAGCACGGCGGAGCCGACCCTCGACGCAAGGCGTGCACGGTGGCGCAGTCGAGGGAGGAAGGGCAGGGAGCGACGCGGGGAGACCTAAGACAAGACCGTGCTGGGACATGTGACGCAGACGCGGGAGAGCAGGGTGACCTAAGCGGTGGTGCCAGAGAAGGGAGGGGTGAGTGAGGGACCGACACGAGCAAGCTGCAGCGACCTGGGAGGACGCACCAACCGGGGGGGAAGCGGTGTGTAGGGTAAACAGACCGGACACCGGGTCCCGGGGGAACGTCGCAAGGGGGGAACCTGAGACAGCCTCAGAACAGACAGCGAACCGCTCGTGCCCGGGGAACGTGGTGGTGACGCCGAGGTCCTGGAGACAGCCGACACCAACCAGGTTCCTGGAGAACGAGGGAACGTGGAGGCCAGTAAGGGAGCCTGAGGGAACTGCCGGACAGGGAAGGGACGTAGAACTGCGCGCGACGACCGGACCCGCAGAGGGGTCAGCAAGAGAGACAACAGCAGGTGCAGCAAGCGGCGTGAGCGTGGAACGGTCGCGGAAGAAGCAGGCAGAAGCACCAGAGTCGAGAGTGAAGGACAGCGACGCAGTGGCGGAGGCCGCGGACGGAGCCGGTGCAGCGACTAGACTAGGCAACCTAGGCAGTCCTACGCCTGTCGCAGCAGGGGAAGCTAAGCTACACAAGGGTGAAACACCTAAACTAGAGTACACATGGTAGTAAGATCCATCAACACTAGAAGCGTCAGCATACAAAGCATGCAAAGCAGCACCTATCTGATCCATGTCTAACTCAAAGATCGGCACGCCCTGGCGGAGCAGGCTGTGCCAGTCAGGGAGGTCCGGGGCCGGGCCAAAGCGACGACGAAAAAGATCGTCGAGGCGGCGGAAACAGTGGGCGGTCGGGTGCGGGCGGCGGCACAGAGTGCCGCGGAGAGGCCCGGTCTGAAGCTGGTACTGGCAGGTCACAGCACTGGAGCCGCTGGTAGACGCCAAGCTGC